CCATTCACTGATGCTATAACAAAATGCCTGAGGCAGGGAACTCATGAGGAGCAGAAACACGTTGCTCAGAGATCTAGAGGCTGAAGGGCAAGGTGTGAGTACCAGCAGGCTAGGTGTCTGGTGACGGATGCTCTCTGGGCTTTCAAGATGGCCCCTGGTACGCCCAGTCCTCACTGGCCTCCGTCCCATCTGTCTTCCAACAGACAGGCACATGCTGAGCTTCCCCCCGGGCCACCAACTGTCTTTTCACAGCTCAAGGGCATCCTGCCCTGGGTGGCACCTGTGGCCCCAAGGCGGGTGGGGTGTGGAGCATGAGCTGGCAGCTCAGGGTGGGAAGGGCTGGCAGGCAGCAGCTTGCAGAGCTGCTGGCAGCAGGGCCACAAGGACGAGGGACATGGCTGGCTCGCTGCCCCTGGGGGCTCCAGCCTCAGGAAGCAGGACCCGGATCTGGCCTTGCACCGGAAGGCAGAGGTGGCGGTGCAGACGCCTGCAGGTAGAGGCCGTACCCCGCCCCACGCAAGGCGAGCAATTCCTCAGACACCTCTGAGGTCTGAGCCCCCTGACAGCTTTCACGTCACCAAATACTCACTGAGCACCTTGTGGTCAGGTACCGACAGAGCTGGGCTCTGAATCAGCTTTCCTGCTCAGGTGCTGTGTGACGCCGGCCGACTACGGCACTCTCTGTGCCTCCATCCCCACCTGCAGCGTGGGGTGCGGAGGAGGGTAAAGGAGCTGGCCTGTGCGAACCTGGGAGAGGCTGTGCTCCTGGTCCGAGCCCTGCGCCTAGAGCTGCCCTGGGCCCCATGAGGCAGGCGTCTGTCCAGAGGCGGCTTTGCTTGGGTGTGGCTGGCTGCAGAGGCCTGATCTGCAGAGCCTTTGGCGTCACCCTTGACCATGGGCACAGCAGGGTCAAGGTGGAGGGTGGTGGAGGGTCAAGGTCAGTAGTGAGCCCAGCCCCTTGTTGACGACTGGGGCGTTCTGACACCGGGAAACCACCGTCCCCAGGACAGACGGTCCTAGGGAACCTCAGTGCTACGTGCAGCCAAGCTCGCCGGACCCTCTGGGTGGCATCCACTGCATCACCAGGAAGCTCCCCAGACCAGGTGGCTTCAGTGACAGGAACCGAGTCCCTGACGTTCTGGAGGCTGCAGGCCCAGGTCCAGGTGTGCAGGCCCGTTCCTGCTGGGCCTCCTCGGCTGTCGGAGGGCACCATCTTCTCCCTGTCTCCTGGGGCCGACCTCGTGGCTGCGTCCTGCTCTCCCTCTCATAAGCACAACCAGACAGGACCCACCTACTGACCCCATTCCACCTAATGACCTCCGTAGAGACCCGTCTCCAGACAGCTGCCCTCTGGGGTGCTGGGGGTGGGATGGTGACGTGAACCTGGGACAGAGCACCGGATGGCAGCCGCGAGCTGGCCGTGACAGTCTCATCGAGCCTAACAGCCGAGCGCTGCCTTTGCCAGGGCCGGTGCCGAGGGCCCCACCAGCAGCCCTGCCAGCTGAGGCCCAGGCAACGAAGGCGGTGGAGCTTCTCCCGAACCGCCATGATGGGGCCGCTGCCCTTGATCCCGAGGGCGGGAAGGAGGGGAGGGTCTGCCGCAGCAGGGCCACATGCTCGTCCAGGGCTGCAGCCTCCTGGCCCAGAGACCAGGCCAGGCCAGGCGGCCCTCACCCTTCTCCCTGGGCAGGCAGCAGGGGCTCTGCAGGAGCTCAGGGACACAGAAATGGCCAGGCGGAGGTGCTGCTGTGAACCTGGCCAGGGCTGGCCCCCAGGGAGGACCTCCCTGAGGCCCAGGCGTCCACTTCTGGGAGCACGATTACCTAGGTGTTTGCTGGCTCCCGAGACCCCTCGAGGAGGCATCGGGGACCTCCCACCTCAGGCAGCAGAAGCACAGGACTTGAGAGGCCGGTGGTGCTGTCCAGCATGGCGGGACATGGGCGGGTTCCTGCCAACCATGGCTCCACACCCCATGGCCCCCATGCCCCCCCGGGGCAGGGCAGTGCCGTCCCTCCTGCTGCCCGTCGATGCTGTGCAGGCTGCCCTTGGCCCCTCCTGTGCTGCCAGGGGCTGGAGCCACACCAGGGCTCAGCGGACGGCAGCCCCGGCCATGTCCCCTGGCCAGCTCTTGGGGCGAGAGTGCACTTGGGAACACTGCAGGCCATGGGAACAGAGGAGAAGCCATCGGCCTCCCGAGCCTCCGTGGCAGAAGCCCACCGGCTCCCCGCTGCCCGCACACCTCAGTCTCGCTCCGTCCACCTGATTAAGAGGGGCCTGCCCAGTCTCAGGGTGTGAGGCCAGAGTCTGGGGCAGTCCCCAGAGCCACATCATGGTGAGGGTGGGGTTGGCAAGTGGGGGGACAGTTCCCTCCAGGGCTTGGACGCTTCCTCTGAGTGGGTGGGCCACATGGCACGGCCTTCTTCTATGGAAGCATCTAGAAGCACCGCCTGCCGCTTTCCTCAGCTGTGCAAGACCAAGCCCGAAACTGGTACCACTCCTCCATCCGCCAGGGGCAGGGCGCACCAGCACTCACGGAGTGACGCTGCAGCCCCAGTGCCCACCCCACCCACCGCCCAGCCCAGCACCACCGTCCCCCTCTGCAAACACCAGCCCAGGACCAGCCCTGGTCCCCTGTGCCCAAAATGGGAGGCGCAGGGGGTGCGCGAGCTGGCTGGCTCGGGGAGGCTGGTCCCTAGGCTGCGTCCTCGTGACCCCTCCAGCAGCGTGGGCCGGCGGAGAGACTTCACATCCCCTGGGGGCTTGGGTGGTGCTTATGACCCACAATACCAGGGACAGTCCTGGGGCCCCTTGGCTCCTTGGCAGGTCCTGGCTGTGCTACAGTCTGCTCAGGGTCAGCTGGGCTGGAGGGAGGGAGGGAGCCTGACCCAGGGCTCAGGCACCCCCTCTGCCCAGCACCCTCCGGCCAGGCAGAGGACTCGGCCACTCTGGCTTCACGTGCGCCTGTATCCACAGACACCAAGAATAGGTCCTGCTCAGGTTGGCCCCGCCCCTCCAGGGTCAGTACTGGACCCCTCCCCTGTCAGCCAGGGCCAAGCTCAGGACTCTGCCTTTGGTCCACAGTCCTGGAGGACACAGATGATAACAGACTCCATGGTCTAGTCCAGCCTCTTGGCATTGATGAGGGACAACTGAGGCCAAGTCCACGAGAGGCAGAACCAAGGTGCCCTGACCATGGGTCTGGCTCCTGGCCAGGGCTGACACTTCCTGGGAACAGTCCACTCCAACTCATGAACCAGGCTGGTGGGGAGAGGCCAGGCGTGCTGCAAGGACCCTGAGGCAGGACCCTGAGGTGGACTGACAGGCACCGGGGACCTCCAGTGGCCTACGGGCAGAATCTGAGGTGCAGGCATGGCTCTTACCCTGGGTGGTCCAGTGTCCTCTGGGTGAGAGGTGCCCCCACCAGTGCGGCTACAAGGACTGACATGGGGCAGGAGAGCCGAGCTGCTAAGGGGTGGCCCGCAGGTCCCTGCCCTCCAGGTCCAGCACCAAAGACCCCAGGGAGAGGACCACAGGTCCCCCTTGACAGACTACCAGAACCCCCACATGGGGCCCTTGAGGGAAGATGCAGGGGATGAGACCCAGGTGAAGGGGACAGGGAGGACTCACCCTGCCCGGGACCCTCCCCTGGAAACACAGAGCAGAGGAGTGGGTGGGGGTGAAGTCACAGGCTCACCCACACTGGAGGCCCAGGGGACGCTGACCTCGCCCAGGGCAGTCTCAGGGTGGGCTGGGGGGGGGTGAAGTCACAGGCTCACCCACACTGGAGGCCCAGGGGACGCTGACCTCGCCCAGGGCAGTCTCAGGGTGGGCTGGGGGGGTGAAGTCACAGGCTCACCCACACTGGAGGCCCAGGGGACGCTGACCTCGCCCAGGGCAGTCTCAGGGTGGGCTGGGGGGGTGAAGTCACAGGCTCACCCACACTGGAGGCCCAGGGGACGCTGACCTCGCCCAGGGCAGTCTCAGGGTGGGCTGGGGTGGCCAGGATGGAGGCAGGGCTCTGTGGGAGGGAGGGTGGGTGGCAGGAGGGGTCCTTTTCATTTTGCCTGCTCTGTGGGGGGACGGTAGGCACTGAAGGAGGCAGGGAATGTGGCCCAAGGCGGGGGTCCTGGGGGCCAAGCTCCAGGCTGCCCTCCTGTCTAACAGACTGCAGGGCACTGGCTGGCCACGGGGGTTTGGGGCCAGGGCGGGCAGGGCGGGTCAGTTCTGGCTCCGTCTGGAGGCCTTTCCCAGGCTGTGCCGGTGCTCAGGCTACCCGCACCTCTGTCGCCTCACGCCCTGGCTCCCAGGGTCAGGACAGAGCTGCGGTTTGTGGAACCGTGGGTTAGCGGAACACATTCCATTCCCGGGCGCTCTGTGCGTCCACAGGGACCGGCCACTGTGGGAAAGCTCACCCAGACCAACCACTGTCGTGCAGCCTGGGCGAGTCGCGGGGCTCTCTGGGTGTGATGCTGGGAGTCTCCGAGGGGCCTGGCCAGACCTCGCCTCCCCATCTCCTCGTGGGCAGGGGGTGTCTGACGCCCAGGCACAGGTGTGGGGCACGGGCCTGGAGTCCAGCTTTGGCCCAAAGTGCTGATTATTCCACACGCTGTGCACCTGCCAATCAGGGTGTCCCGTCCAGCCAACCAGCTCAGGCCCTCCAGCCACGCAGGCTGGCCGGTCTGCACCGTGCCGGGCACTCCTGCTGGGGCATCGCCCTGGGCAGCATGTGCCCAAGTACAGAGGAGGGACAGAGACGGGCAGAGACAGGGGAGAGACAGGCGGAGAGTCAGAGCCAGAGACAAAGAGGGAGAGACAGAGAGAAAGAGACAGAGACAGAGACAGGGGAGAGACAGAGACAGGGGAGAGACAGGCTGAGAGTCAGAGCCAGAGACAAAGAGGGAGAGACAGAGACAGAGAGACAGAGACAGAGGAGAGACAGAGACAGAAGGAGAGACAGAGAGAGGCAGAGACAGAAGGAGAAACAGACAGATGGAGAGACAGGCAGAGACATAGACAGAGACAGAAGACAGAGACAGAGAGAGGCAGAAGGAGAGACAGGCAGAGACAGAGACAGTAGAGACAGGAGAGACAGAGAAAGGGGAGCTAGAGAAAGAGAGACAGAGGCGGAGCAAGGCGCCTGGAAGGCCCCAGACGTCATCTGTCCCCCTCTGGCAGTTTGCCCTGAAATACAGACCCTTCTTCTCCTAGCCCAAGTCGGGAGCGCGGTTCCCACGCTGCAGCACAATGCCCCACACCGTGAGGGAGCAGCCTGCCCGAGTGCCCCCGACTGCCCCGAGTGCTCCCTGAGTGCCCCCTGACTGCGCCTCCGAGTGCCCCGAGTGTCCCCTGCCTGCCCTCCTGAGTGCTCCCTGAGTGCCCCCTGACTGCCCCTTTGCCCCGAGTGTTCCCTGACTGCCCTTCTAACTACCCCGAGTGCCCCCAACTGCCCAAGTGCCCTCGACTGCCCCCCCAGTGCCCCCTGAGTGCCGCCCGCCTGGGCCTTTAGCAAGTGCTCAGCACAGGCTACCCCAACGTCTGCCTTTAGTGACATAAATTCCATTTTGATGTGAAACTGCCCAGCATTTTATGTCCCTGTTTGGGGCTTTGACTGAGCCCCTTGGGAACCGTGTGCCCAGATGCGGCCATCTATGCAGAGTCCCCAGGGAGACGCCATGACGAGCGCCCTGTGATTCTCCAGCGGCCGTGGCCAGCCGTGGCCAGCGCACCTCCCTGGCCCAGGCCTCACCCCTCTGGGGAGCTCTGCAAGTCTGTGTCGGTCTCACAGACGCCTGTCCCCACTAACTGCACCGCGCCTGGCTCCTGAACACCGCGACATCTCCGGGACCCTGGCTTTGCGGTACATTGCTGTCACCTCCTTAACTGGATGCCCTCGTCTTGAGTTTGGTGGCCTTGACTCCAACCCAGCTTCCTCGGCAGAGTGGAAGGGCACAGTTCCACGTGGGTCACTGCAGAAGTGCTGTGTCCTCTGTAGAATGCTCAGTGGCCTTCTCTGGGCCATCAGACACAGGTGAGCCACTTCTGGGATGAAGGTGACCCTGACCGTCCTGAGGACGGGGAGAGCAGGTGCTGACAGCTGTCCTGTGTTGGGCTCCGCTGTGCAGGTGGGAGCTCACCTGAGCACTGTGGAGACCAGGTGTCCACCCATGTCCTCCCCGGGCCTTCTGGGTGGACCCCCGCCACAGGGAGCAGCAGTGGATTGTAAACCAGCCCCACCCAGGGGACACCTGGGCAGATGCCCCCCAGATCTAAAGGCCAGGGGGAGGGGGAGGCTTGAAAATGAGTAAAACCACCGCAATTTTGAAAATGAGACTAAAGAGGCCATTTTTTTTTTTTTTTAGAAAACACAAAGTTCTAAGTTGACTCAAGTAGAAATAGGAAATCTGGCTGGTCCAATGGCCGGGTGCAAACTAACAGTGTCTGGGTTTGTCCTTAAAAAGGCACCGGGCCCAGAGAGCTGTCCTAAGCCCAGAGTCACTCTAGGAATCACTGCAACAGGAGACAGAGGACCTGCCTCTGGAGACCTGGCTCCTTCTCCGCCTGGACAGATGGAACTCTCACTTAGCATCCTCCCCTGGCAAGTGGACATGGAAACAGCGCCCTCCCACGTGCCAGGGTGGCTGAAGCCTTGACTCGTGAGCCAGCCCAGGCCTCTGAGTCTGCAGGTAAGAACCTGGTGCGGCCAGCCGTGACGGACGGTTACTGGCATTTCCACACACAGTACGGACAAAAGCAACCGGCTCATTCTTTACAGCTTGTTGACACCTTGAAAAACTAACAGCAAGACTCGGGCACACACACCCTGGTCCACCAGGCTGTCCACATGGGGAATCATGCACCAGGAGCAAGCGGACTTCATCTTAGGGACAGGAGGATGAGTCAGCTTGAGAAAAATCCACTGTCAGAACAGAGTCCCCCCCAAAGCACCTGGTACCAGCTTGGGGACTCTTGGGACAGCCGGACACACCATGCCTTCCCCGGTCCGTGTTCCAATGGGCTGGTCTGAAGCATCCCCCAAAGCCCACCCTGATGTTTCTGGTTCTCCGGGTGACCTCAGTGGGGAGGGGCACAAATCATCCCAGACTTTTAAGTCCTGGCGAGACCTGCCTCCAGCAGAGCGCCAGGGGTCGGGGCGTGTGGACACACCACCCTTACCTGGCGGGTCTGCATTTCCCCTGACGCTGTCACCAAGAACAAAGTCCTTGAAACCAGTCTTCCAAACATAAATAAGCCTCCGTTCAAGTCAAGGAAAGTACGAGCCCCTTGACATTTGCCAGACTGGATCCTAGAAAGACCTCTGGGGCGGATGCAGGGAGCCCCAACCAACGGCCACCTTCCTGGCCTTCTGCTGACCCCCCAGGAAAATCTGCCTCCCAGCCTCCAGCGGGGGGGTGGGCCCGAGAGGCACCTCCTGCAGGAAGACACTGAAGACCCCGCTGCAGGCAGGGAGCAGAACAGGACTGTCCCCAGAGGCAAAGCAGGGCCCCTGGGAGGAATTTTCCAAGCTGCCAGTGCATTTGGGGTGGGGTGGGGCAGGTCTTGGTCTGGCCATCCCTGCTGGCCTCTGTCCTGTAGCCCCTGCCTTAGGGATGGTAGCAGCAGTCACAGCCTGGCCATGTGGGGCTCACTCAAGCTGTGCCCGAGCCCCAGGAGCGGTCAGGATGTGGAGCCCCAGGCTTGTGGGGAAAGGGCTGCCAGCCTCTGGCCCTAACCCCACAGCCCACCCCACTGCCATGCCTGCTTCTGTCCCCACAGACAGTTCCCTCCCCCTTTCAGCGTGTCCCCAGGGAACCTAGCACCTCCTTTGGGCCTTGATCACTTGGTGGCCTGAACCCATGGGTCCTTCCTTAGCTGCAGAGGCTGGGTGATCTGTGCCCTGCTGGTAGCTCACAGGCAGCCGGTGGTCCCCAAGGCTTTGGCACCCTGGAGTTGTGGCCAGGAAAGGGCAGATTGCACACCACATCCAGAACCCTAGCTCGTGGGTCCTGCAACCAGGGGGGAATGGGGAAGCAGGCCCCTGTGTACTGCCCACAGTGCCCAGGAGGCTGCAGCTCAGGGTCCTGGTTCTGCACGGTGTCCATACCCTCCACCACTCCACCCGAGGACTCCCCACGGTCATCCCTGAGCTCCAGGGCACGCACGGGAGGCCCTGTGCTCCAGGCTGCCTCCCGGCCCCTCCCCTTTCCTTCCGCTGCCTGGCCCCACCCAAGGTCCTCCTGTCCAGGGCGCCCCACGCCCCAGAGCACTACTGGTGCCCCAGTGGGCACTCGAGGGGCTGCCTGCCCCCAGCTGTGCTGAGACCCAGCTCTCGCGCCTTCCCGTCTGCTGCGCACACTCCAGCCCCGCGGCCCGGAACCCAGCCTCCAGGGAATCCTCCCAGGGCCACCCAGACTCCCCACCTCAGGGCTCTGCTCACTGGGGTGGGACTCGGTGGCCCACTCCTGGCCCTGTGAGATGTGAGGGAACCGAAGAGGTCCCGGGGCCAAGGAGGGTCAAAACCTGGGCCGAGCCAGTGTGGCCCCCAGGACAGTGACATGCCCCGTCCAGGCTGGGGACTTCCTCCCTCAGCGAGGCTGGAGCAGGGAGTGGGAGCACAGCAGGCTGGAGGCCTGAGGCCAGCTCTGGGGGTCTCCCAGGGACAAGAGAGACGGCCAGGCAGCCTGCCATCCCCGGTCTGTTCTTCCTCTGCGGCTCTGGTGGGCGGGTTTCCCGTGGCCTAGGAGCCCAGGGAGCTCCCCGAGAAGGGCTCGCGTGCCCCCTTGTGGCGGCATGGCAGCAGTGGCTATAGACCCTGGCCTCTACCGGAGACTCGTGGGTGAGGAAGGGGCTCCTCTTCTGGGACCCTCGGGAACCACCCAGGGCAGCGCTGACACGCCCGAGATCAGACATCAACAATCCACTCCCAGAGCCTGAAGGGGAAATCGGTGGGCCCAGGGTGCCAGTGGGGGGCTCGCGGGCCCCGGCAAGGCTGGAAGACACCGCGGCACAGGAGGCCTGGAGGCAGAGTCCGCCAGGGGCTGAGCAGACAGGCCACCTGCACAGAGTCCCACAACTTCCGAGTGGACTCCAGCCTCTTAGAGGAGGCGCGAGGCCATGGCCTCTAGCCCTGTGGGCCGCCCTGTCCTCAAGGCCGAGCACCACTGTGAGGTGGAAGCGGGCCTTCAAAGTGGAGCCTGGGGCAGAGACGGAGGCCCAGGCCCCCAATCCCAGAGGCAGGGACGCAGCAGCCTCTGGGGCCTGCTCTGGTTCCTGGTGTGGGGATTCATGGAGCCCTGTGAGGACGGCTCAGCTGCGACCTGGGCTGCACCCTGCACCAGGGCCAGGCACAGAAGTGCATCCCGCAGCCTTGGTGTGGGGCCTCACTGCTGTGGGACCTGTTGTCCTCAGAACACTCAGCGCCTCGGGCTCCTGGCAGGGAGGACCCTGCAGGGAAGCCCATCCTGGGGGGCTCTGTGCACACAGGGGAGGGGCACACTGGAACACGTAGGCATACAAGGTTTTCTTCATCAAGGAGGTGCTCTGTCCAGGGGGGAGTGTGGGGTTTGTTTTCCTTGAGAGGAAAGAACCCAGAGTCCCCAGATGGGAGGCCTGCTGACCTCGGGGGTGTTCTGAGCCCTAGAACTCCTTGTGGGGCCCTCTCCAGGCCAATGGGCTGTGAGGCGGCCAGGCCTGGCCTGGGGTGGAGCAGGTGTGGAGCCTGCTTTTCTGCAGAGCGAGAGGCCTGGGCAGGCAAGGGCTCACAGCCTGGGGTCACCTCAGCTGGCTGCTGGTGGAGCTGCAGTGCCCAGGGGCAAGCTGGAGATGGCAGAGTGGCCAGGCTTCCTGGCGGCGGTCCAAGCCGCCCACAGTGAAGGTGGCGCTCAGCACTAGGGTCTGCGCGGGAGGCTCCCCACAGCCAGCCAGGCTCCTGGGTGTCCATTTTTCCCTGAGGGGGAGTCTTCACAGGCATAAGTGTTTCCATACCTCTTAGATAAACACAGAGGGTGCAGCAGCTGGGTCATACAGTAGCCATGTTTTTAGCTACATAAGAAACTATTGGACCCCAACTGCAGCCCCATTTTCTTCTTAAATCCTGACCCAGAAGCACAGATGCTTGGACCTCCCTGGGCTGTCCAGCTGCAGGCTTTCCTGCAGGCTTGGACCAAGCCTGTAGTCCTCAGCCCCACAGATGCAATGGGAAGAGCACCCCTCCTGTTGCAGTGATTCACTTGCAGGTCAGCATGGGAAAAGAAAGAAGAAGCAGAACAAGCGAAGCAGCAGCAGGAAAAAAGTCCTTTACTGTGTACAGCGATCTTTTTATAGTATTGTGAACAAAGAAGGCAGCCTTCCAACAGCAGTGAATCAGGTCTTTCAGCTAATTAAACATAGCACACAGAAGTTTACTTCCTAATCAGAAGTGACCCGCTTCTCATGGCTAGTCTATTCTCGGCCCGGAGTATGTTGAGCTCTGCTCTTTGTTAAGAACAGATAATAAAATTTTTCTCAGCGCCCTCCTAGCCCACTTGGCAGAACGTCCCGTTTGCAGGCAAGTCCTCCCAGGGATAGCAGACACCTTGTTTTCAATCTAAACCTTGAAGGAGCCTCTCGTTTGCAAGTAGGCCCTCCCAAGGACAGCAGACACCTCGTTTTCAAGCATGTCCGCTGTTACCTATCTATACCTTGACAGAATATCCTGTTTGCAGGCAGACTCCATCAAGGACAGTAATGGTAACGCAGTTACATCTGATTCTCTACATCTCCTCCTGTTCTCAGCCTCCAGGACGCGCTGCACGTTCCCCAAACAAACAGCCTGGGTGCTTAGGACTCCTTTTATCAGAATCCCAGCCAGCAGGGCTCAGGGTGGTTTGGGGACTCTCTTGCAGGAACTCACCTGCTGCCATACTTGTGGTGACTCCAGCTATGGATTCAACTGGAAGAGAACAGAAACTGTCAAACAACTTCCCAAGGGGCTGTACCATTGAGTCCAGCTGTCCCACAGCCTCCCGAACTCGGGCTAGACTTACTTGTAAAAGCGGCTTAAGCAACAGAGACGACTCCACTTCACAGGAGGTGCTAACACGTTTCCAGGACAGCAGCTGCCCTTTGGCGGTCCTCCACCTCCCCCCTGCCCCCGGGCCCCTCAGGGTCCCTCCAGTTGGAGGACGGTTGCAACGACACCTGCACAGGTACGGAGACCCTTCAGTCCGGACGGGATCGCCGCCCCTCTGGCAGGCCCCGCGAGCTGGCACGGCTGCGCCCCGGGAGTCTGGGCACACCGCAGAGAATGGCGCACGGAGTGGATCGCTCATCCTCGAGGCCGCAACCCCGTGCCCCGCACCAGTTCCCAGTGTTCCCCGGGGGTTGGTGCCCACAACACAGCGGCGGGGCTACATCCGGCAGGCGCGAGCAGTCCGCACGCCTTGCCCCGCGACTCCGTCCGCCCTGCCAGCCCGTAGGCCTTGTCTCGCAGGTCCACGCTGGTGCGCGGAGGACGTGGTCGGAGCTGCGTGACCCGCCACTGCTGCGCGGGGAAGCCGGGGGCGGAGGGGGCAGTGCTGAGCCAGGCTGAGCTTGCGACCGGGCAGGCCGAGTGCCTGACTCGCACACGCCCTGACTCCCGGGGTCCGTCCCGGCCCCGCCCCTGGGAAAATCCCTCGACCCGCCTCTCGGTGCCCGCCCCGCCCACTCCCCGCCCCGGTACAGCCCACGCTCCGCCCCTCGGTGCCCGCCCCGCCCAGTCCGCTGGAGGACTTGGCCTGCAGGCCCCGCCCATTCCCCCACCCACGCCACGCCCGTCCTCAGACCGCGCCTCTGCAGGACTGGCCCCGGCCCCGCCCCAAGACTGAGCGACGCATGCGCAGAGCGGGCCTCGCCGTGTGGCCGTCGCCACGGGAGACGCGCTCCACGGGGAGGGATAGACTTGCGCTTCCGGGTCAGGGCGCGGCCGCCGGAAGTGCGTGGCCGCCGGAGCCATGGCGGCGCTGGCGGTCGTCTCCCTCCTGCTCGGGGCAGCCTCCTGGCCGCCGGTCTCGGCCTCGGGCGAGGAGTTCTGGCCCGGCCAGTCGGCGGCCGACATCCTGTCGCGGGCGGCCTCCCGCAGACGGTAAGCGCTCCGCGGGCTCGCCTCGCTCGGCCCGGCTCGGCCACGTGGGCCCGGCGGACGCGGCCCTGCGCCCCGCCTGCGGCCCGCACTGCCGGGGACTGGCCCAGACCTCCGTGGCCAGTGCAGGACGCCCCCTTCCTGACCCCCTCGTGTCGAGGGCGCATCGTGGAGCCCTTCCAGAAGCCACCTGACGTGTGGTGTCGCAGCTCGCCGAAGGCAGAAACGGGCGTGAGAACCCAGCTGTCGCCAGACCCAGAATAAACTCGGAAAAGTTGAAAACCTTGCCACTGCGTCCACTAGTTATTTGTGTTGAAAACCTGCTCATTTTTTGTTTAAGACGGTGATTTTGTTCGCAGGAAGGAGTTTGCTCTGTTAAGTAAATTAGTGAGTACTTCAGCTCTCCCTTCTCCGAGGAACCCTAACCCTCGTGACACCTGCTCCTTGGGTCCTCAGAGGCTTTTAGACCAGGTTGAAACCCCGACGAGCCCTCGTCCTGAGGCCCAGGGCTGAGGTTCCATGGCATGGCCAGCTGTTAAAGGGGACTAGGACGTCTGGTCATGCTTGTGGGCTGAGGTAATTGTCACTTAGAAACAGGTGGACAGCTGTCTCTGCAAACTGAAGCCTGCCCAGTGGAGCAGTGACTGAGGCAGCCGTCTGGGCAGGTGTGTACCAGCCCTACACTCAGAAGCCCTGTTCCGCTCTTCGCACAGGTACCTTCTGTACGACGTCAACCCCATGGAGGGCTTCAACCTCCGCAGGGATGTCTACATCCGCATCGCCTCCCTGCTGAAGACCCTGCTGAAGACTGAGGAGTGGGTGCTCGTCTTGCCCCCGTGGGGCCGCCTCTATCACTGGCAGAGTCCTGATATCCTCCAGGACCGGATTCCTTGGTCTGAGTTTTTTGATCTTCCAAGTCTCAATAAAAACATCCCGGTCATTGAGTATGAGCACTTCATTGAAGGTGAGGTGGTGATTTAGCTGGGCCTGCAGGCCCAGCTGCATGCGTCCTCACCCAGCTGCAGTGCTTGCTCTGCATGGGCACCCTCGGCACCATTGCTCTGGGGAAAGGGGTTTGAACTGTGGGGACGGCTGTCGCAGCCTCTAAACAGCTGGCACAGTCACTTTGCACGAGAGAGCATCCCGCCCCAGGTGTCACCCAACAGACAGGGCACCCTGGGAGAGAGGCCTTCTTCCTCCTAGAGGACGGCTGTGAGTGTGGCTCTGGTCATGGTGTCTCACTGCAGCACTGTTAAGGACTTCAGTAAAGCTGCCTCTTTAACTTCATGCTGCTCCTCCTTCCGTGTTAACGTTCTGAGGATTAAAGCTGTCGTTAGAACATGATCTAAGACGTCTAGCAATGTGACTTTGGTTGGAGAGCATAGATTTAAAAGTGGCCCTTTGCTGCTGCTTTCCGGAGACCCTGAGAGGAGTGGGTGGCGCGTGTGGCCTGATGGAGTCCTCATGCAGGTCAGCCTCTGTCTGCCCTGCGCTGAGGGCCATTCTCCTAGTGCTGGGCTCTCACCACCTCGCTGTGGAGTGTGTGGTGTTGGAGTTGATCCTGGGAGCACTGGCATGTGAGTCACTGTGTTTCTGCTGTCCTCATTCAGGCTGGCCTTATAAGACACTGGTGAGGTGCACCCTTTCCCGCCCCGGTCTGAGCTGTGGTCATAGAAACCCAGCTGCCATTGCCTCCAGGCCATCAGGTCAGGCTGGTGGTTTTCTGATGCTGGGAAAGGGACAGTCAGGGCTCTGGCCATTTTAGTGTGTGGCACCTGGAAGTGGCAAAGCTGTGTCTCCCTTCTGCCACTCAATCTGCATCCCTCCAGCTGGAACAGGACCAGGAGCCTTGCAGGAAGACAGCCACACATGGCCTCCCCAGGCGGACGTGCTGGCTGGACCAGGCCTGCCTTCCCTGGAGAGGGTGAAGCTTGCGACGGGGCAGGCCCAGTGCCCGGCACAGTTCTTCTCCCTCCAGGGTGAGGGGAGCCCTGGAGCTGCACTGGCCACGCAGCTGCGAGCCCCTGATCCCAGCAGACATGGAAGGCAGGATTCTGCGTGGTGTGTTTTCTCGTAACCAGGTGGTTCATTCCATCTTTGGCCAGAGCTTTCCTGGGATGTGGGATGTGGCAGGTGGCCCCAGCAGGGTGTGGGGGGCAGCAGGGGGTATAGGCCCTCGGGCTGCTCCCCGGGGCAGCTAGGGAGTGCAGTGGTGTCACGGTGGAGAGCCCTGGGCCCAGCGTGGGGGCCAGGCAGTGCTGGAGGGAGCTGCGGGCAGGCTCGGCCGTGCTAGAGGAGAGGGAGGGAGGCTGTGGGGAGCAGTGAGGCTGGGAGCCCCGATGACAGGAGCAGCAAGAGGAAGAAGATGGCCCTGGCAGGAGCCCTGTGAGGCCCTGCCCCCAGCCAGGGCCCGATTCTGCCCTGTCTGCTGTGTGAGCCTCTCGCAGTCGTCTTTGGGGATAATGTGCCCTTGACCTCATCCACGTCCATCTGAGCCAGGGGCTGGATGTGCCTGCGAGTGGCCACAGCCACTTCTGCACTGCCCTGTTCTCTCGGTTTTTTTTCAGAGTCCGGTGGGCCCTTCATTGACCAGGTGTATGTCCTGCAAGGGTATGCGGAAGGGTGGAAGGAGGGCTCCTGGGAGGAGAAGGTGGACCAGCGGCCGTGCCTGGAGCCCCTGCTGTACTCGCAGGACAAGCACGAGTACTACAGGTAGCCTTGTCGCCCAGTCGCCACCCTGCGGGGGCCTCCCCAGCACCTGCCACCTGCTGGCTGTCTGGGGCTGTGCCAGCAAAGGCCTCTTGCTGTGCAGAGGGGCACTAAGCCTGTCCTCAAAACCCCCTCCCAAGGTCCCTCCCTTTTCCCTGCCTCTTTTCTCAGTTCTGGGGACTGAAGCAGGGTCTTGTTGCCACTGGGCTGCATCCCTAGCCCTTTTTAAAATATTGAATCAGGGTCTCACTAAGTTGCTGAGGCTGGCCTCAAGCTTGTGATCCTTCTGCCTCAGCCTCCCTAGTATCTGGGATGACAACGTGTGCCACTGTGCCTGGCTTCCTGCCTTTTAAACGCATTGGAGTGTGGTGTAGGAGCGGTGGTCACAGCCCCTGGTGTAAATCGCCAGCCAAGGCTTCCCTGTGGAGTAGCCTTCGCACAGCAGCCTCCACGTGGGACGTGGCAGAGCAGTTTGTTCTGAAGCGTGAGAGGTGCTCTTGGCAGAGCATGGTTGCCTTGCTCTGGCCCCAGAGCCTGGAGCCATGGTTTCTCTCCTGCTCTTCTGACTCTCGGTGACCAGAGTCACGAGCAAAGGGAAGCCCGTAGTTCTCGCGGTGTGAGTTCCTGGGTGCCAGAGCCCGGGCCGAGGGCGGGGGTGCTGTTACCTGTGTGAAAGCAAAGCCAGCTAACAGCTACCCCGCGGGTTTTCTTTCCAGGGGATGGTTTTGGGGTTATGAAGAAACCAGGGGTTTGAACGTCTCCTGTCTGTCCATTCAAGGATCAGCGTCCACCATAGCACCTGTGCTCCTGAAAAACACTTCAGCCCGGTGAGTGCCAGCACTTTCCACCTGCAGCCCCCAGCCAGCACGCGCCTGTGCTGAATGCTGGCGTCCACACACCTTGCCGCAGGGCCGCTTTCCACAGTGAGTGGGACCAAGGGGACTGGAGGAGGCCACAGGTGTCCTAGGAAGAGGCTCAGAGGGCAGCGGGTTTGGGTGGGTGCGCCAGGCTCTGCGGTGGGCAGCACGGCCTCGTCCTTGCCAGCAGCGCCTACTCGGGAGGCCGTTGCCTGAACCTCAGGCTTCGCCACTCCATTCCCAGGCCTGGTGGTCACTGGCCGGCGTTGGCGGAGAACCACACCTGGCTTCTCTCCAGAGTTCCTCTCAGGTGACGTGAGGAGCCAGGGTGTAGCTGTGAAGAGGGGACAGTGAGGGACTGGCCAGGGCACAGGCAGGTGGAAAGCGTGCCGGCCAGACTTGACAGAAGGCTTTTAAGCACCCAGAGAGGTTTTGAAGATACTGCCCTGTCCCTGGCTTTGTTCTGTGACTATGTCTCCTGTGGATCTGTGACTCTCAAGGGCACCCTTGGCTGGGGGACCCTGTGGGCAGAGCAGGGTGAGGGCAGCACTCTCACCACCTCCCAGGGGCCTGGGAGGTCCCCCCAGGACGGGATCGTGAGTCAGCGAGGGCGATCCTCTCTGGAGGGAAACGCCGGAGAGCGGGTGCCCAGGATTAGCTGCAGACCTCAGGTAGCTGCGGGAACTGGAGAAACTGAAGTCACAAACCCTTCCAAAGGTGTCCTGTGGGTCCCCGCATGCCCTGGCAGGTCCCTGTGTGCCAGACAGGTTGTAAGCATCTCTCAGGAGCCTGGGTGCACAGACTGCTCCTGCCCAGGACCTGGCGCTCCAAGGTGCCCCTGCTGTTCTGCTGCGTGCACGCCCCTGAAGCCACGACTGTGTGCAGGGCTCAGCGTCCCCTGGTCATCACCGTCACCAGTGGTCCTGGCCCTTGTGTCCTCGTGAGGTGGTGTCAAGCCCACAGTGAGCCCCATTCTCCCTGCCCACGAGGCCCGTCCCCCACAGAAGCACAGACCCTAGGTGCTGGAGGGAGCTGCTGGATTTCTGGTTCTTGAGGTCCGCTTTGGTATTGTCCCGACTGGGCCTTTTGGTCACAACCTCTGGGTTCCAGAAGCAGCTGTGTCTGAGCTTGGCCTGGGATACGTGGGCCCTGGACGCGTGCTCCTGCCGCAGTTTTCCTGACCCGTTTGGGTTGGAGCAGAGCTGCCCCAGGAGGGCTGCAAGCAGAAGGCCACACCGTTGCTGAGGAGCAGGGGGAGGGCACCTTGCAAGGAAAGGAACCTGTTGTCCCCCCTCCAGGTGGGCCGCAGAGCCTCGGACAGGGAGCCTCAGGGCGGGGAGCCTCCGACGGGGTGGGAGGGATCTGGAACAGGCTGTGGGAAGCCCCGCCCAGTCGGCACCCCAAGACCAAGTGGAGGAGGCGACAGGCCCTGAAGGGGCAGTGGCGACCCGTGTGCCCAGCCCAGGGCCTGACTCACAGTGTAGGTGAGGTCCCCGAGAGCCGAGAGGAGAGCAGGAGCGCGGCCGCGTGGGCAGAGGGACGCACGGCCCGGTGACCCGGCAAGCACACCTCCCACGAGCACCCACGTGGACCCCGACCAGGGTGTGCCCGGCGTCCCCAAACCAGAACGCATCCTGCCGCAGCTAGAGTTGGCGTGAAGGGAGCAGGGTGGGCTGGGGACTGAAAGGCCGTCCAGCACGGAGGTGAACAGCTGCTGCTGCAGGCACAGGACACGTGGGGCCGTAGCGTCCAGCAAAGAAGGAAAGTGGGTCAGCTTCTGCTTGCACAGAGCAGGGACCTGCAGGGAGACGGCAGGGGACCGTGTGTCCTGAAAGCCTGCTGCTCAGGGTCCCTGCACCTGTACCGTCTGCGGCCAGGTCCTTAGGAAGTGACCTGGGGACAGGGCTGGGCGGCCACAGTGCAGCCACTCCCTGTGGGCAGTGGCGTGGCAGGCTCCTTTCTCACACCGGGGGCAACGGGGCTTGCTGTGGCCTCCCTTAAGCGCAGGTCTCAGCCTTCGGTGAAGGCACAGTGGGCCCCTCCTGCACCTTGGGCGTTGGTGAGTGTGCGGCAGTGCCCGCGCCATGTCTTGGGTTGGTGAGGATGTGTGGTGGTCCCCATGGCCTTTCAGGTCATCTCTGTGCTGAGGGTTGGTGGCCTTTGGTTGGCCTGAGGTTAGTGCTATCTCAGGGCACGTTGTTACAGAGAAGTCTTCCTACAAGCAGCAGGGAGCGGAAATGCAATACGCAGAACCTCAGTGGCTGGGGTCACTGCTGAGCCACCCCAGGACTGAGACTGCGTGGCTGGACCCTGCAGCCACTGTGCAGTCTTGGTCTCGGGCTCTGGCACTGAGAAGCAGGAGCCCTGTCCTGCTGCGCAGGAAGGCTGTGCCCTAAAGCTCCGATGTAAATGCTCACCCGATTTCATCTGCAGAAGAGGTCCCCTGTGCCTCCCTGCACCTTCCCGTTCCCGGTCTTTGGCGCTCTTCTTTAGAGCTACAGTTCTCTCAGCCGACTGCCTGCGGGAGGAGCAAAGGCTGCAGGCGATGGGCCGGTCCTGCGTGGTGCCGTGGTGCCCTCCTGGGTTCCCAGGGTGCCTGTCTCTGTGGGCACCCTGGGCCTGTGCCAGCCTGAGGTGCTCTGGTGGGTGGGAGGTTTCCTGGGGCTTTGGCGTGATGAGGCTGGCAGTCCCTGGTGCTGAGCCGCCTGTCCCTGGCTCCCCTGAGGTGAGCCGCGTGTCCTGCTGGGCAGCCCTTCCCTGCCGTGATTCCCCTGGAGCCCCGCAGACCTCCCTGCAGACCCCCCCTGTTTGCTGGTGCAAGGCCTGGCACCCTGAGCTCTCGGTGCAGACGGGTTGTCAGCTGGGCGTCTCTTGTCAACAGGTCCGTGATGCTGGACAGAGCGGAGAACTTCCTTCATGACCATTACGGGGGGAAGGACTACTGGGATGTGAGTAGTGCCCGGGGCCCTTGCCTCCTGTAGGTCTGCAGATTGTGTCCATTTGTTCAGTTTCTGAACATCAAGGTGACCTGCAGACGGCTCTTCTGCCCACTGCTGATGAAATCCCGAGGCTCCCGGAAGCTGCACTGGGCACCAGCAGTGGATCCTCACCCACCCTAGGGCAGAGGTGCTGGACCCTGTGTGGGGCCAGGTGTCTGGAGACACGGGGCCAGGCTTGGGAGCCGGGCCAGGAGCCTCTGTCCCTGCCATGTGGCCCTGGCTCTCACGGGCGCTCCGCCCTCCAGCCCCTCTCCATGCTGCATGCTGGGGCAGGGCTGTCCTCCGGCTCCTCTTCTCCCGACTTGCTGGTGGTCTAGCCTCCAGCTCTGCCTGCTCCACACTCTGGTTCCACAGAGGGGTGTTTTCTCCAGTGCAACCCTAACCCGGGAATTGATTCTGCCTGGAGGTGGGGAGCGCATCCCTGGGTGACCTCTGAGGACCCACAGTGGGCCTGAGCCACAGCTGGGCCAGGAGCAGCAGGGCAGGTCATGTGGAACAGAGACTCCTGGTCCAGCTGGGCTCCAGAGCTCCGGGTGGGTGCTGCTGGAGGCCAGGGAGTGGAGGGCCTGGTGCACCTCTCCGGGCTGGGGGGCAGTGGTGCCGCATTGCTGCCTGCAGGGCCTGTCCCAGAGTCTGCAGGCGGAGAGCGCGGCTGCTCGGCCAACGAGGGGCATGTGGGGCTGGGCAGCTGGTGCCAGGGCGTCAGCAAGGGGAGTGGCACGGGACAGGCTGTGGCGCCTCTCCCTAGCCCCAGCGAGGTGGCATGCAGCCGTGTGCGGTCCCCAGGGCCTGTGCCCTCAGCTCCGACCTTTCCCCACAGACCCGCCGGAGCATGGTGTTCGCCAAACACCTGCGGATGGTGGGCGACAGCTTCAGAAGCAGGTTCCTCAACTCCACCGATGCCACGGACAGGATCCCGTTTGAGGAGGACTGGACGAAGATGAAGGTGCATCTGCGTCATCCCGGGTCGGTCGCCCTTCCAGGGCTGGGGAGTCAGGCCGGGCCACAGAGGGACAGGCCCAAGCACCGTGATCCCTGCCGTGCTGCAGATGTAGGAACTTGCTTGGCACGGTGTCCTGCAGTCAGGAGGGGACGTCACTGCAGGCCAGCACCTAGGAGGCTGCTCTAGGAGTACAGGAAGCCCCTGTGGGCGATCTCCTCCTGCCATGCGTGGTGAGGGGCGGCAGGGCAGGCCAGACCCCGAGCACTGCTGGGACACCGTCTGAGGACGTGCAGGGAGCCTGGCCTCCCTCTCCCAGTGCTGTGGAAAATCCCATTCTGGTCTAGCGTCGTCCTTTTGGATTTTTTATGTGAACGTGAAATGCCTTGCACATGTAGGGATGTATCTAACTGTGTGTGTGAGCGCACACGTGGACCACCACGTGTGAACGCTCTGTCGGCTCCTCCTGGAAGCTCAGGTTCTCCTGTGGTGTGATCCCCACGAGCAGCGTGCTGGCCGGCCCGCGGTGTGGGGGGCCTGGAGAGGACTCCCATGCCGCTGTCCTGGGACGCTGAGATGCTCAGTCGTGACTGGGAAGGAAGCCTTAGAGGGCTTCTCCTTTTTCCCAGAGTGTGACTTCACTTGAGTAAAAGGGTCTGTGATGCGTGATTGCCTCCTGGTCTTCAGCCGCCCTGCGGTCTGTCTGAGGTCCCTGGGGCCTGGAGGGGAGGCTGCGTGGACACACTCGTCCCCTGTCGCCTCAGTTCCCCGTCCTCCTCCCCAGGTGGAGCCCGGCTCTTCACTGGGGGGCCCCTACCTCGCAGTCCACCTGAGAAGAAAGGACTTCATCTGGGGGCACCGGAAGGACGTGCCCAGCCTGGAGGGGGCCGTGAGGAAGATCCGCAGCCTCATGAAGACCCACCGGCTGCACACGGTGTTCGTGGCCACGGACGCCATCAGGACGGGTAGGCCACTCTGAGTGCTGGCCCGTCCCTGGGCAGACGGGACTGTGGCCCAGGGGCAGAGCTGAGCTGCCTTCGCCTTCCCCATGGCCGGAGCCACACCGGCACTCGCATGGCGTGCCTGAGTGGACGTGCCTGCTGCACCGGGGCCCCACGAGCAGCTCTCTGTTTGCAGAGTACGAGGAGCTGAAAAAGCTGCTCCCCAAGATGGTGACCTTTGAGCCCAGCTGGGAGGAGCTGGAGCTCTACAAGGACGGGGGCGTCGCCATCATCGACCAGTGGATCTGCTCGCACGCCAGGTACCTGCCCGCCTCTCGGGTCTTGGTGACCACAGCACGTGGTCCCTTGCACCCTGGCCTTGACCCACCTTGGCATCTCCTCTAATGTCCAGTTCTGGGCATCCTTGGGCTGACGGGGACCCTTGGTCTCCAGGAGCAGTGTCCTCTGAGGCACACTTACCTTGTTCCTGCTCCAGCTGGGCCTCTGCTCTCCCTTCCTTCCTTGCCCCTGGTCCTGTCCACGCCTGCCCTGGGAGGCCGGTGCCCTGGTGGGGCTCACGTCCAGGGGTGCTGTGTTAGGGGCGTGCGCAGGGTCCCAGGGTTGGAGGCTTGTGGCCCCTTCATGGCTCTGGAGGGGCCTTGGGGAGGCAGCCAGGCCTCTGTGGGTCGCTGTAGCCCTCCTGCACGTCCACCTGGGACATCGTGGGCCAGCTGGACCGGGACGGTGCAGGCATGATCTCCACGTGGCCCCTGCGTGCTGGGTGCTGTGCCCACTCAGGCCTGTGTGGGCAGCCGGCCTGCTCCCACCCACCGGGGTGAGCTCCCCGCCAGCCCTCCCACGTCCCTGGGCACCGGGGCACCAGCCGTGCTGTCTCAGCCCTTTGCCTGTGAGGGACAGAGAGGACTGCTCTCAGTCGGGCCAGGTCACGGCCGCGCCTGCTCCCCAGGTGTGGCCTGAGTGGCGATGAGACCCCGCAGGTGTCCGTCCCAGCCCAGAAGTGGCGCTGGGGAGTCCCGAGCTCATGCTTCACCCCCTGCCTGGGCTCTCCTGAGAGCCCCACGGCCAGCTGGTTTCTGGGAGCCCCACTGCAGGCTCCTGTGTGTAAGTCCTCGCCCATCTGCCTGCGGCCACTCTCGGCCACTCTCGGCCACACAGCCTCCCCTACCTACCCACCTCCGTCCCTGGAGTCGCACTCACTCAGAAGCCTACGGTCCCCAGCCCAGTGTGGCACTGCACGTAGCACTGGCTCTGGAAATGTCTCAGATGAATTGGTTGTTGAGTAGAGAGGGAGGCCAGCCCAGGAGGCCAAGGAGTGGAGGGCCTTCCACCTCCCCGGGAGCTAGAGGCCAACCCAGGAGGCAGAGGAGTAGAGGCCTTCCATCTCCCCAGGAGCTAGAGGCAGCCCAGGAGGCCGAGGAGTGCAGGGCCTCCCGTGCCCGTCCCCCTCCAGCCCAGGCAGTGTATGTGCGCATGGGCCTTGGGTTCCCGGGATCCCACTGCTCCTCAACAGGAGTCCTATGTGGCCGCAGCGCCGTGGTGAGAGTCCTCCCAGGCTGCGGTGGCCTTGGGCATCTGCAGTGCAGGAGAGGCACCTGCGAGGAGCAGTGGAGGGACCGGCTGGGGGGCCAGGGTGGGCCTGGCAGTGGGACTGATGGCCGGCCCAGTGCTGACCCCGTGGCTCGGGACCCGGTGTTCGTTTTCAGGTTTTTCATCGGCACCTCGGTCTCCACGTTCTCTTTCCGGATCCACGAGGAAAGGGAAATCCTGGGGTTGGACCCCAAGACGACCTACAACCGCTTCTGTGGAGACCAGGAGAAGGCCTGTGAGCAGCCCAGCCACTGGGAGATCGCCTACTGAGCGCCCGCCGTCTGTGCGTGGAGACCTGGCGCGGGGAGCACCCAGGAGCTTCGTCCTGCACGTCCTCCACCCGCCGTGGGCCGCAAGGGCTTCCGCGGCCCTCTGGGTCAGCACACAGCGTGTTCCTCAGGACCTGTGCTGCCGCCTTGCTGCAGAGCTGGTGTCCAGAGGAGCGGGCAGGATCTGTGGTGAGCGGGCTGCTCAGCAGCATGGACCCGGACGTCTTCCTGTCCACCATGTTAGAAGTTACGGAACAATAAAGGCACAGGCTGCGCCACTTCCATCAGTGGCCGTTCACTGCTCGTGGGCCACCTGGTCGTCATTAGCCAGGCAAACTCAAGCTCTTCATTCCAGTCTTCATTTCTGAGCTCTGTGACACTCAGGCCACACGTCCTCGCCACAGTGATGTGTAAATGGGTCACAGAGATGAGGCGAGGCTGAGGCAGGGGGCTGGCCAGGAGCAGAGGCAGGGGTGGTGCCCATCAGGGAGCCTGTCAGAGTATCAGCTTGAGCAGCAGCCTGCAGTGGGCTGTGCGTGGTGTCCAGCAGGAGAGACTGTCTGGCCGGAGCCTGAGGACAGGTTTGCAGGTTTGTTGCTGTGGCGGTCTTCCCAGGCAAGGCCAAGTGCAGGGTCCCGTGCTCCTGATCGGGTTGGGTGCCCACGTGTCCAGGTGCTCCTGCTTTGGTTGGGTCAGTGTAAGTTATTTGCTGGGTCGTGCCTCAGGGTTGTGCCAGGCAGCCAGATGGCAGTAGAGTCTCCCCACCTGCCACCTGTACTCAAGACGGAGAGGTCCATGCGAACTGCTGCAGTGACTCAGGGTCCGGCCCAACCCGAGAGCTGCTGGCCGCACCGTGTGGGAGCTCGGGGCAGGGCCCAGCCTGCTCTCCAGAGTGCCCGTCATGCCCGGCTGGGCTGTTGAGCTTGGGGTGTTCCGGGCTGCGGCAGCTGGTGTGGGAGAGGCGGGCCGGGAGCCGGCCTCCTGGGCTGTGGGGCCTGTGGGGTTGCCTGGGCCTCCGCATCTCCCACGTCGGGGAGGCTGTGGCAGCGCGGCTCCTTCCCTGGCCAGCAGTCAGGTGGGAAGCAAAGTGCAGCTAGGGAGCTGGGCAGTGCCTGAGCCTGGGAGGCCAGAGGTCTTCAGCTGCAGGCCACAGGCCCCTTTGTGGCCGCGCCGCCCACCCAGCACCTGTGGCCCTGGATGCCCCTCAGCAGGACCTTCGAGAGCCCCGCCCAGCCCCTGTGCAGACAGACGACAGTACCCACGTGGGCTTGGCCAGGGTGCCCTGTGCAGGCCGGCCCTTGCCCGGGCACGGCTCCCAGCTCAATTCTGGGGGCAGCAGTGGCAGCTGCCCTGGCAGGTGGACCATCGCACGGGTTTGAGCATGGCTCCTTCCTCTTGGGCTACGGTCACCCAGTGTGCCCTCTTGCTAAGGGTGAGCATGAAGAGTGGCCAGCCACTGCGGCTCCCTGTCCCCAGGCAGCTCAAGCCTCGGGCCCTGTAGCCCTGCTGCGCGGGCGTGGTCTGCTGAGTGGACCGAATGAATAAAAGGTTTCTTTTCTTCTGTCTCTCTCCTTTCTACGCACAGAGCTGGCCCCTTGGGGCAGAGGGCTTGATGCAGGCCCTCTGCCATGCTCTGACCGTGCCCCAGAAGCCTCGGGTGGTCCTGGTCCGCCACAGTGCCAGGGGTGCCCTCAGAAGGTGGCCAGAACCCTGCGAGGGGTGAGGGGACGCGAGGGAGCAGAGGCAGCCCTCTCTGGACCCAGCAGCCAGTGAGAGAGTGACCTGCCATCGCCTCGCTCTCGGACCTCAGCCTCGAGAGCTGCAGCTCTGGGTTCGTGTGACTTACGAACTATTCAGCCTTGGGGACTCGTCACCCAGCTGTGGCACATTAGAAATCACTGGGTCAGTCTTGAAGCAGGACAAGTGGATCCACAGTGGATCAAGAGGCAGTGACCAAGTCGCCGCTGCACACCCCGACCCTGTGCAGGGTTAGGGTGCACCTTCATATCCCAAACCCGCCGCCACCAGGAAGTCAGAGGTGGTGGTGCAGGGTGGGGTCAGAGTGGCCCACCAGGCAGTCCAGTGCCCAGGAAGGACTGGACTACAGAGCACAGCGTCAGTGACCCTTGGGACACTTCCAGAGCCAAGCTTGCTGCGCAAGGTGTGCCGAGGGGTCAGGATGGCAGCAGCCGGGTCTTCTCTCAGGAGGAACATTTCTTACGTGCGTCTCGGGGTGAAATGGGGTCTGCCTGGTCAAGACGCGTACGTCCTGGCCCACGTCAACACGACGGGGACAGACCCGGCCACCTTCCCCACGACCATCGTCTGTGCAAGCTTCGTGGCCAGCATCTGTCCATCCAAACCTGCCTCCGACTGTTCCTCCTCACCAGCTGGCTCTCTTCAAGACCGTGGGGACACACTGCGCCTCTAGAGACTGGTGTCACCTTCACCGTCCTGTCAAAGGCTCCACGTGTTCTTCATGTAGAGGCCGCTCTGAGTGCCTGGCATGACTGGAATATCTGGGGCATGCAGCTGACCCTCAGCAGAGCAGCTGCTGGTCTGTGTGTGTGGACAGTGGAGGAGCCCCCACGGGATCGCAGAGGAGGATAGAGGATGGCCCACGGCTGCTGCCGCCCCCAACCTGCAGCAGAACAGGGGCTTCGATGGACCGTCTCTCCAGGAAGAGGAAGAGGGGCACCAGCGCGGCCTCACTCTGTCAGACCTGACCGCGGCCTGGCTTTGGCAGGACCACAGGCTCACAAGGGCCCTTCTGCTCCCTGAGATGGCTCAGTGTCCAGGTGCCTTTAGGGACAGGCCACAGCTGTCCTGTAACATGCAGGGCTGTGCAGGGGACTGAGCACGTCTCTCCTTGGGTGGGACAGAACCAGAGGTGCAAGGACAGAGAGACCCCTGGACACGCCTCCCTGCCCCTTCAGAGTCTGGGCTTACAACCTCTGCCCCGTGGGGGCCCCAGCCCAGTGGTCACATCCGGCCCTTTCCCGTGCTGACCTGGGCTAAGGGTGCACGACACCTGAGGAAGGCCAAGGCCCAAGCAGGCCTTGTCCTCTGCTCCCAAGGCCTGTGGTGGCCTCCCGAGTGAGAAGGTGACCCCAGCTGCATCCAGTAAGAGAGGGGCCCCCAAGGGGCACTGTGACAGGTGACAGAGAGCATCCTCTTGTCATCCCTGACCTCACCCTGCACATTCACAGGCCCAGAAGCTGCTGCCCATGGTCTCCTGGCCAGTTGTGGTTTGGGAGGTGCCACTTAAGCTCCTGGACGTCACGTCTTCACCAGCTGGGTCTCCGGTCCCCTACTAGGGGTTTGGCACGGACGTCCTTGCCGCCCTGCTATAACCCGGAACTGGTGCAGCAGGGACCAGGTGTGCTCAGTCCCAGACCACACCAGGCCCGGGGGGCACCAAGCTATCGGGGTTTCCCCGGGGGCAACGGCTCTGAGCGCTGGCTCCGAGCTACTGTGACAAAGAACACGGGTATCAATTCTCTGGAGGCTGGAGTGCAAGTCAAGGTGTCCCGGGCCTGGTTCCTCCTGGGGTCTCTCTCCCGGGCTCACAGCGGCTTCTCCTGCGCCCTCAAGGGTGGTCTCTACATCAGTGCCCTGATCTCTTATGACAGTGGTCAGTTGGATGAGGGCCACTCCAGTGACCCCACTTCACCTTAGCTCACATCAGCCCTGTGAGGGACCAGGGCCAGGGCAGCCACACACAGGTTTGGGGGACCCCAGGCAGCTCTGACACCCCTCTGTGGCACATGCACCACCCCTGACCTACACACCTGTACCTGGGGCAGGGCCCCGCTGTGTCCAGGGAGGACCCACTTCCTGCCCACTGGGCACCTGGGGCTGAGGTGTGCCAGGCACTTGCTCACGTGGAGCAGAATCTGGGCAGGACCGAGGGTGGAAGGGTGTGGGAGGTCAGGGGCGATGGAAGGAGGGCCCTGCCCACCCGGGGACAGAGGGGGAGGTTCTGGGGTTGCTGCAGCAGGTGGGCGGGGCTGTGGGGTCCCCATTCCCCTCCCTCTACAGGGGCTGGGTGGACCGTCTGGGGTGATGACACCCGAGCCCAGGCACAGAGTGAGCCACGGCGTGAATTCAGTGACCTGGTCGCTGACTCTGCAGGGGATGCCGTGGGGACGATGGCCCGTGTGGGATGGCCAGGAAGGACCCTTGGGCTGGTTCTGAGCACCAGCTGTTTCCAGCCCGACACTGCTCACTGCCACAGCTGCCGGCTGAGGGGGCCGGGGCTGCAGGAAATGGCCTGTGACAGATTAAACCTCCGTTTCTAATAAAAGTGTTTTCACGACAAACCAGGCTGCTCTGTCCTCATGGGGAAGGCTCAGGCCTCAGGTCATGAGTGCCCGTGACACGGCCTCCCCAGAACAAGCCCAAGCCCCGGCCCACGGGTGGCGGGCAGCAGTCCACCTGCAGCCTGTCGGCTGCTCCTGAGGAGCCCAGGACATGGGGCCAGGACTTGCCACCAGGGACCCCACTGAGTCCTCAGGCCCAGCACCAGGCCACAGTGAGTGACAGCAACACACAGCCTCCGCGAGGGCTGGGGCGAGGGTCCCATGACACGAAGTGGACCGTCTGCACGACCACGGAAGAGACCTGATGCAGGACAGAGGATTAGCGACCAAGGGACACGAGGAAACCGGAGCCCTAACAGCTGGCAGCCAAAGCTGGGCCTGGGGTGTCCCAGGGGCACAGCACAGAGGGAACGTGGGAGGGCCGAGGGACACAGAAGGCAGCGCTCCCCAGAGGACAGGCCACGCCCGGAGGTGGTGAGCCTTGTCCAGACGTTACCCTCCATGCTCAGGAGCCTGGACAGTGAGGGCCAGCAGCCGGAGGAGCCCAGGGAAGGGCGACGGCCAGGTCAGAAGCCAGGTGCCGTCCACAGCCACAGGCCGGACCAGAGAGAGGCAGCCTGCACACCGTCCACACGGGTATCCCAGATCCCACTGGGCAGCGCAGAGTCGTCCGGCAGCTCCAGGCCCAGCCCTGCACACCTTCCTTCTGGCCCTGGCCTCGAGTCTCCTTGCTGCTGCCTACAGCCAAGCTCCTGTTGGCAAACGCCAGGGCCAGGGCATCGGCTGCCGCGCGCACCCGCCCGCCCGTGTGCCCACCCGCGCCCAGCAGCCCTTGCTTGGCAGTTTCCGGGCACGTGAAGGTGCTTGACATGAAGCAGAGAGAAAGGGGAGGGTTAGGACGCGCAGACGACGTCCTGCAGTACCACTCACAGTGACGCGGGACGTGCCAAAGTCCCCAGCTTGTGCCGTGTGGGTTGTGGAGGGCCACCCAGCTGAGACTTGTCTTCGAGTGCCCGGGTCCTCTTTCAAGATGCTCAGTGCTTTCCCTTCAGTCCATTGCCTGGGGTTGTCGTGACCCGTCTGCAAGATGCTCAAGTGCTGAGCCCGGGTCGGAGCCCTTCCCTGCACCTGGCCCCAGGAGACTCATCCGCAGAGAAATGTGGCCCAGGGCACCTGCTCCATGCTCCCAGCAGCCAGTCCACCCACAGCAGAAGGACAGACAGTGCCCTGTCTGCCCTAAAATCAGGAAGGCAGAGACCTTGGCCAGGCAGCACCGTGCCCGTCCACCAAGGCAGGGACAGCCAGCTGGGGCCACTGCCAGTGGCCTCTGCAGCCCACCACCCTGCCATTAGCTGAGAGGGCTGCAACCGCACTGCACATCCGGGTTTCTGTGGACGGTCAGGTCCGCACTAAGCAGATTCCCACCATTAACTCCCAGAGGAGGCACCGCTGGCTGCAGTTATGTCCTGAGCTCACACTGTTGCCCCGCAGGCTGCTGTCCCCTTCGCCCCGGTGGCTGGCTGCCCTCCAGTCACCGGCCACTGCAGGTGTTAGATGTTAAGGCGGGTGGGGCTGTGGCCACAGCTGGTGCTCTCACTGCCCTACCTGGACAAGAGCCTCCCAGGGCTAGGGCAGTAGACACTTGGTCAGGGCTCCTCAGAGCCAAGGGCATCATGAGCGCAGCATGCCCCTGTGGTGGAGGACCCGCAACCTGTGGTCAGCGTCACACAGCATGGGGACAGTGCCAGCCGGGAGGAAGAGTCTGCAAGCTTCAACAGAGTCATGTTCACAGGCAGCACCAGAGCAACACGCAGGCGCGGGGGTGTCTGGGACCCTCTCCTATCGGACAGCTTCCAAGGAGGCCCAGGAAGGAATTAGGTACTGACCAGGGGTCAGGGAGGTCTGAAACCCAGGGGGCACAGGTGCTGAGGGCCTTGCTGCCTGAGCTGAGCTCACGCACACCCAGCGGGGCCCATCACTCCCACCCCAGCTACACCCAGCTGATTTCACCCTGGACACCAAGGGCCAGGGCCAGGTGACGTGTGAGGGAAACCTTCACGGCAGGGAGCCTGCACATAACCAGGTCCCCCTCCTCTAGAAACTGAGATCTTACTCTCACCTAGAAGTCAGTGACAGGCAGTGACCCTGACACCGCTGTGCAGCTGCTGTGGCCACAGAACCAGGGCATGCTGGCCACCTTAGCTCCTGTGTCAGCACAAACCCCACCTGCTTCCTGGCTCCTCAGCTCTACGGTGGCTACAGGGCCACTGCCCTGTGAGTCAGGTATTCCTCCTGCCCTGCCTGTCCTCGAGCAGTCCAAGAGGACAGGCACTTCCTCTCCTGTGCCCTCTGCCCCTCAGTGAGACAGCTCTGGCTTCAGTGGAGCTGAAGGGCTGTGGGGACATCGCTGGCCTCTGACTCCTGGGGGCAGACTCCGACAGCAGGAAGCAGAGGCCAGGAAGGGGCAGGGCAGGCGCAACTGCCTCCTGCAGACTTCCCAGAGCTGTTTCCCACACAGCTGTCCTAGACGCCCGCCCAGCTGGCCACTGAAGAGTAGCCAGCTCAGAAAGACTCACAGGGCATCGTTGCAAAGTGAACCCCACCTCCCCACACCAGGCACATGCACCCAGATCAGCCACCGGCACCGTGTACTTTGCCCCAAGTCCACTCCAAAGGGACACAGGAAGTGGTGGAGAGCAGCCTAGGGACTTCTGTTTTTTATTTTTTGGCTGATGAAATGCACTGAACAACCCTCCTGAGGAAAATGAATGGTTGAATTTAAAGAAGAATAAAATACATCACAGATGATCCATGAAAACGAAGTCATCTCAAGGCACCAAGCAGGAAAATCAGGAAGCCCAGGAGACGAGCTGACCACGGCCGACTTCAGCCTGAGCTTTCTGCAGAACCTGCTGGACTTGAGTGACACAGGATCTTCCCAGGGTGGCAGGGACGCCAAAGGGTGAGTGAAAACTGCTGCAGAAGTAGGCAGAGGCCGAGGAGATGCCCTGCCTCAGCTCTGACACTGCGGACAAGACCTTCCTGAGGACTCGGGGCTCGGTGAGGTCGGTGCCTCCGATCAGCTAAGTCTACGTGGTCCAAATTTCAAGATAGCCACATACCGGTGGCACTCTCCCTCCCCCACGTTTAACAATTAGGAGCAAACACAAATTTTTTTTCTGGGGAAAATCTGAAGACTCAAAGTATTTGAACTCCAACCACAATGTTTACAAAGCCAACTGCTGCGGATGGTGAAAATCAAAACAACAGCAGACTACGTCACCACAAGATCCAGTTAGCAGGTGAGACGCAGGCGGAGACAGGGCCTGGAAAAACACTCAAAGAACCCAGACCAGAACCCACCCCAGAACCCAGAGCAGGAACCACACAGAAACCACACCAGAACCCACACCAGGAAGCACACCAGAACCGACACCAGAACTTACAGCAGGAAGGACACCAGAACCCACACCAGGAACCACACCAGGAAGCACACCAGAACCACACCAGAACCACACCAGAACCCACACCAGAACTTACAGCAGGAAGGACACCAGAACCCACCCCAGGAACCACACCAGAAACCACACCAGGAAGAACACCAGAACCACACCAGAACCGACACCAGAACTTACAGCAGGAAGGACACCAGAACCCACCCCAGGAACCACACCAGAAACCACACCAGAACTTACAGCAGGAACCACACCAGACCCCACACCAGGAAGCACACCAGAACCACACCAGAACCCACACCAGAACCCACACCAGAAACCACACCAGAACCCACACCAGAAACCACACCAGAACTACACCAGAACCCACACCAGAAACCACATCAGAACCCACCCCAGGAAGCACACTAGAAACCACACCAGAACCACACCAGAACCCACACCAGGAAGCACACCAGAACCACACCAGAACCCACACCAGAACTTACAGCAGGAAGGACACCAGAACCCACCCCAGGAACCACACCAGAAACCACACCAGAACCACACCAGAACCCACACCAGAACTTACAGCAGGAAGGACACCAGAACCCACACCAGGAACCACACCAGAAACCACACCAGAACCACACCAGAACCCACACCAGAACTTACAGCAGGAAGGACACCAGAACCCACACCAGGAACCACACCAGGAAGCACACCAGAACCACACCAGAACCCACACCAGAACTTACAGCAGGAAGGACACCAGAACCCACACCAGGAACCACACCAGAACCCACACCAGAAACCACACCAGAACTACACCAGAACCCACACCAGAACCACACCAGAAACCACACCAGAACCACACCAGAAACCACATCAGAACCACACCAGAAACCATACCAGGACCCACACCAGAAACCACACCAAAACCCACACCAGGAAGCACACCAGAAACCACACCAGAACCACACCAGAAACCACACCAAAACCCACACCAGAACCACATCAGAACCACACCAGAAACCACCCCAGAACCCACAACAGAACCACACCAGAACCCACACCAGAAACCACACCAAAACCCACACCAGAACCCACACCAGAAACCACACCAGAACCCACACCAGAAACCACACCAGAAACCACACCAGAACCCACACCAGAACCCACACCAGAACCACACCAGGAAGCACACCAGAACCCACACCAGAACCACACCAGAACCCACACCAGAACCATATGAGAACCACACCATATCCACACCAGGACGAGGAGTGGAGGTTGGGGATGGAGGATGTGGCCTGTCTACCCGAGATTCCCCGCAGCCAAACTGTGTCCCCCTTACTGAAGACACTCTGTGTGACGATCTGGTGATTCAGAGGGGACGTGGGCACACAATCCTTAACAGCCACCAGGACTTCACACTCCCGTGTGGATGGAGGACAAGAAGCCACTCTAAGGCCCAGGAAGTCTTCACGTGATGCTCTGAACAGGGAATTGGGGCGAGGGTCGCCGTTCCCGTTGAGCGTGTGGACCTTTCACACACTGACTCTGAAAAGACAGAGTTCTGAGCCTGGAGATCCACAGTCTGGAGAAGGCACTTCTCCTTCGAGGGACACCGTCTCAGTGAGGCCCCTGGAAAGGGCAGATGGCTGGGAGTCAGGCCCGACAGTCTCTGGGCGCGAGGGACGTAGAGGTGAACTGAGTGTCTGGAGGCCTTTGTGCCCAGGTGGCAGTGTGTGCCATCATCCGGAGACCCCTCTCCTGGAGCCAGAGGAAAGCACTCAGGACCAGCAGGGAGAGGCGTGCTGTCCCCAGCTCCTGCTTCAGAGACGTTCCGCTGATGACATTGTTCCTTCTCCCACAACAACGAGAGTTCTGGTGGCTGTGTGGACTTCTGCACGGTCACCACAAGTCCACAGTGAAGCCCAGCCTCCCCGGCGTCTCCGGCACCTTCCGCCTCAGGCCTGGTCTGCTTGGAGTCCCGTCCTCTGCAGGGGTGTTCCCGTGCCGGCCCCTGGGCTCCCGTCCCCTCCCTTCTCCGCGGGGCCTTGAGGCCTGGCTTTGAGGCCTGGGCTCTGGCTTTGCAGGGCACCTTTGCAGACCACGGGGGCTTCTCCTGGTCCACTGTCACCTTGGCTTGCCTCCTTAGCAGCCGCTCAGCCTTGTCCTGGGCGTGATGGTGACGGCAGAGGACACGCATGGCTTTGGTGGGTCCAGGGTGGTTCTTGCCTCTTCTTCCTCTGACACAAGTTCTGGAAGGAAATGACAAACATGTGACAGTGACACTAGAGGAGACAATGACAGAGATTTTTCGCAGAGTTGAAAGTCCCAGAAAGAAACCTGAAAGATTTAGGAGACCCTCAATAAGTCCAAAGAAAGATAAATAAAAGTAAATAGATTTATGTCTAAATATGTAATATTATATGTAACAAATATGCAATAATAAACTGTGAAACACAAGGGGCAAGAGAAATTTTCAAATACTTTTTTAAAAACATTATTTACAAGGATTTGACAATGCAATCAATTCTTTTTGTGGGGAGTGGGTACCAGGGCCCTCCACCACTGAGCCACACCACCCTGTTTTGTATTCTGTTTGGAGACAGGGTCTCACTGGGTTGCTTAGTGCCTTACTTAGTTGCTGAGGCTGGCTTTGACCTCGCCATCCTCCTGCCTCAGCCTCCTGAGTGGCTGGATTACAGGCGGGCACACTGCACCCAGCTGACAGTGCAATCATCTCTTGATATCCCGTGGGCACCATGGAACCATAGAGCTGTGTGAGTATTTCGACACTGGGACAAAATACCTGAGGAAAACAGCTCTTGGGGAAAGAGTGATTTGGCTCCGGGCTTCAGAGGACCCAGCCCTGGTTGGTGGGGTCTCGGGCAGAGGCGTCGTGGTGGCCCGGGAGGAATGCGGCTCATACAGAGCAGGCACGAAGCAGGGATGGGGAGGGCAGGGGTCAGGGACGAGATGAGCCCTCCACGGCACGTGCCAGCCCAGGCTCGGATCAGCCCGCCACGGAGCCAGAGTCCCCACGTCCTGTCTCTTCCCAGAGTCCCGTAGGGGCCATGTCCTCGACTGCTGAGCCTGTGCACAGCCCGGACCAGGCCCAGGGACACCCTGGTGCCTATACGCACCCGACAGAGCCAGGCTGAGCTGGAAACCCCGAGCCGACCCACATCCAGTGCTCCCCACCCCCAAGGCCCAGCTGGCGGGCACAGCGGGTGCGGGCCCGGAGGACGGAAGTGTGAGGTTCAAAACACGGCGTCCACTGCTGTGCACGTCCTGGGTTTGGGACTGTGTGAGGATCCTAGGGACCATCTGAGATGAGGGGCCTGGCACCTCCATGTCACCACAGTGAGAACACGGTCCAGGTGGCACGCTCGGGCCGTGCACTGCCGCACGTCTGCTTACCTTTAGATAAAGCCAGCTCCTGCACGCACCAGGCCCAGTCATGGCTCCCTGGCTGCACATGGAGCCACTGGGCACAGCGGTGGAGAACGGCGCCTCGCTGGGCGTTCTGCGGAGGCCTGCTGTGGGGACCGCGGCCTCAGCTTGGCGAACGTAGGAGGGCAGAGCGTGGTGTCTGACCCACGCCAAGATGGCAAGGGTGAGGGCCACGTGACCGTGATGGTGACCCAGCGCTCTGCTCTCTGGGGTCCTGGGCCACATGCCTGCCGGCCAGAGGACGGAAGTCACAAAGCAACAGAGGTAAAGCCCCACGTGGGCTGGCACTCGGCCTAGTGAGTCACTGTCACCTGGTGTACAACCAAGGAAGACGCTCCTGCCTCCACGTGTCCCCAGAATCGACCAGACAGGGCAATAACGTGGGAGACAAACGCAACCGTGACATGGCGTGCACTGCGTCACCGTTAGGAGGTCGGTGACTGGCGCCTGAAGCGTTGACACTACCTCGCCGCCTCCCCGGTGACAGAGGAAGTGGACTCCGTCTGCAGGTGGCCCTCTGCAGGCCGGGCGGAGGTGCGGCCTGCTCCTTGCGGAGGTGGCCCGCAGAGCGCCCACCCCCTCCCACGGGTGCTCCAGGCGGGGCCCGCACTGGGGGAGCAATGGCTGCCACTCCTGCTCCTCGTCACCTCCCGCCGGGCGTCCCCACAGCTGGCCCTCAGCAGCACCCCGGTGATGGTGACGGGCTTCTCAGGGGCTGCTTCCACCGGCCCTGAGTGCTGGACCCACTTCCTGCCTTGCTCCCCAGCACCCAGCGCTGCCCTGGGGCCTGGAAGCACCGACTGGCCATCTGGGTGCTCTGGCTGTGGGCACCCATGCTGGATGCTGCTAAGAGCGTCTGTGCAGGCCTCGTGTGCCACACTGGGCGCTGTGGGCTGCCCTCCTCTGTGCCGAGGTCTCCCTGCAGCCCCTGACGGCTGTCCCTGGGGACAGGCGGCGCTCACCTTCTCCCTGCTCAGGGACGCGGCCACCCGTCCAGACTCACCGAGAGTCCCCCTGAGCTTCCTGGCCGTCCAGCCCCACCCTTGACCCGAGACCCCAGTGACCTGGCTTGAAGAGCAACAGAGGCCCGGAGGCACGTGGGAGCAGAATCTGCCCGTGTCCCTTGACCCCCTGACAGGACCTGCCACTGTGTCCTTCCTGGTGAGACGTGGACCCAGGGAAGGGTCCCTTTAGACAGACCTGCCCTCCCACCAAACTGTCCCAGCGCCCTGGAGCCCTGCAGCCTCTCAGAGGGCTGGATGGGGGTGGCGCCGAGGCCACGGGCCTCTGCTGTGAGGCCGTCCAGGGGTTCCTGGGCGGTTGAGGGCCGGGATGCGGTCCCGCCCCAGCTGTCGCAGTGCCGAGTCACTCTGGCACATACGTGCAGGCTGTGCCTCACCATCCAGCACCCAGGAGGGAGTCAGGTCCACCTGGAAGGCCTTCGGCAGGTCCCCGGCCCCCAGGCACGTGTTCCCTGGTAGGAAGGGTGTCACGAGGGCCAGCGTCCCAGCCACAGCACTGAGCCCTAATACAAGCTGCGTCCTTGCAGCCGTGGGGCTGGGCCTCCCCCTCCCCAGGCACCAGAGGTCAGCTCTGCACCACCACCAGGTAGGTGCCCTGGGATGGCGCCCCAGGCGGAAGGAGGTGGGAGGCAGAGAGCACAGCCCTGAGCATGCTGCAGGCCCGCAGTGGACACGGGCTGGCGGGCTGGTGCTGGGTCTGGCAGGCGATGGACCCCCTTCCTGCTCACGGTGCCTGAGTACCCCGCGAATGGCGTGGTTTTGGAAATGTTCCTGCCCAGGGTTGCGTGCCGACTGAGACGCAGCATAAGTGACCCTGTGCGGTAAACCATGGCGCACGCCGCCTGGACGGAGTTCCCAGCTCCGGGGACGCGGGCACCCATGCCGAGCCAGCAGGTTTGGGCAAAAGCAGACATTCGAGGTCACCCTCCTCTGACGTTGCTCATGAACTCCCAGCTCCCCTTGAGCCTCGTCTCGTTCTCCAGGTGATGGACGCTGGGCCAGCATCAGAGGAAACGCACTCTCCATGTCTGGGGCTGTGGGACAGGCGGACGGCTGCAGGGCACGGCAGCATGGTCTCCCTGGCCCACCAGCCCCAGGAAGGGCCCGGCAGCTGGCGGACAGCAGCAGCCCTGCTGGCCCTGGGCACAGCCGGGGTCAGCTGAGCATGCCCCTGGGCTCTGGCTTGGGATGACCTCTGTCTGCAGACGGATGCGGAGGAAAGCACCCCCTGAACCAGGAGGCCCAGGCGCAGAGAGGGGAGTGCACAGAGGAGACCAGGCTTCGGTGAGGACCTCTGAGTTTTGGGAACGGTGCCCTCACCTGCAGGTCTATCATGCGACTCTCCCTAAAGGGAAGCTGTGGTTCTGGTCAAGTGTAAATACTGATGTGTAAACAAAGCCTCTGGTTTCTCCCAGTGCCCACCTTGGAGCCCCTTCAACCCCGTCTGCGCCCTCCTCCTGCCCGGCACCCCTGCACCCCTCCCCTGCCTCCCCTGCACCCCTCCCCATTTCCATCGCCCGGGGCCCTCTGCTGCTGCGGGTGCCCTAGGACCTGAGGCTCCGTAGCTTCAGTAGTGAGTGGCAGGCAGTCCGCGTGGGGAGCCACCTGAGAGCCAGCAAGTGAATTCGCAGGCCTCTCCACCTCCACTTCTGCCTCCTGCCTCCTGCAGAAGTGGTCTTCTCTGACCCTGGGCTCTTCTGGGGCCCCTGGCTGTGTAAACGCGTTTAACCCGGGAGCCTTGCGCTCACTCCGGCCTCCTTCTCTACAGTAAGAGGCTCTGCAGAATCCAGGTCTAGACATGCAGTGACCGAGGGGCCCCTGGGTGGAGCCATCCGTAGGTGCCCCAGCGGCTCCGGATCTGCAGGGGTAACTGCAGACAGTCACTGTCACACAGGGAAGCTGCTGTGCTGAAGCTCACCTCGGGGTCCTTGTGCACGAGAGGCCGGGCTGTTCCCAAGCCCCTTTGGAGGCCGTGTGGCTGGAAGTGCACAGAGGAGGTGCATGGTGGCATGTCCCTGGACGGCGTCTGAACCTCCAATAGCGGCCCCCAGCCTCAGTGCTCAGAAATGAAGTGGCCCTAACGCGCTGTAGGCCTTTCCCAAGGGCCTCGCAAGCAGGCGCCAGAGCCCAGGTGGCCTGTGGGAGGACCGGCTCCCCTCCCCAGCCGTCCAGGGGGAGCAGCTGCCATGTGGAGGGCCTTCTCACCTGGGCAGTCCTGACACAGTCCAGGGACCCAGGAACACTGAAACGTTAAATTGGCTTTTGGGCCATTTTTTGGGGGGTGTACCCAGGATTGAACTCAGGGGCACCCGACCCCTGAGCCACCCCCAGCCTGTGTTGTGTTTTAGTTAGAGACAGGGTCTCACCGAGTTGCTTAGCGCCTCGCTGTGGCTGAGACTGGCTCTAACCTCGCGACCCTCCTGCCTCAGCCCCCGGGCTGCTGCGGGCACCCATGCCGAGCCAGCGGTTTGGCCACCGCGCCCAGCGGTTTGGCCATTTTTGACGAGATGCTTTCATCGACTCACTGTGTCAGATGCACTTTCGTGGGAACCGTGAAGTTTCAGATTTAGTTCATTCTATTTATGGCAAATGTGTTCCCTGTGACCTGATCCTTCTTGTCAAACTAATGAACCGAATCAGACATTTTCTGCCAGAAAACGTCTGACCTACTTTTCAATTGAGACCCAAGTGTTGGCGTGCTCTTCCAGGGACACTGAAAGAAAGGCACCGAGGAATGAAGCACAGAACACATCTTGGAAGGTACATCCAGAGGCAATGGAGTCAGAATTCTGAACCCGTGGCCATGATCCGACGAACCGCCCACTTCACAAAACGCGTCTCTCTTGCTTTGTGATGACGTGATGGAAGAAGCAGGCAAGTGCTTAGGTGACGTGCTCAGTGAGGACAGTGACCAAAGACTTGTCCAGGTGTTCAGTGCTCCCAGGTGCTGGACACTAAGTCAGAAATCTTTAAAAAACCCTCATCTTTTGTGTGTATGTGGGGGTGCTGGCGCTCTACCACCGCGGCACACCCTCAGCCCTTTTTATTGTTGGAGATAGGGCCTCACTAAGTTGCTGAGGCTGGCCTCCAACTCTCCATCCTCCTGCCTCAGCCCCCCGAGGAGCTGGGACTGCAGTGTGCGCCAACACACCTGCAGAGCTGGGGATGGGACCCGGGGCCTCCCCTGGGGACGCTGGGGATGGGACCCGGGGCCTCCTGCCTGGAAGGTGAGGCTCTGCCCTGAGCCCCTTGGCTGAGCCCAGCCCTTCCTTCATTAATTCTGTCAAGTGTCAGAGCCGAGTGGCCCTGGTGCCCGGAGAGGAAGGGTGTGTGCCAGGAGGCCCTGGACAGCTGGGTGCCCGTGGGGTCTCCCCACACATCAGTCCCGATCTGCACAGCGGGCGGCTGTGGGCTGCAGCCGCAGTCACTGGGTGCCACCCTCCTCCACGCCCTCCCCGTTAGCCATGGAAATGGCAGCCAGCAGAAGACCCCTGCCACCCCCCCCAGACCACCACCAGACTCCGTCCTCCTGGAGGCTCCCCAGGGGAGGTCAGGGTGTATGTTGAGACCAGGGCCTCTATATGACGCGGCTTTGCAGCCATTTCCCACTGAGGTCTTGACCCAGGTCCTCTGGAGACTGCCTCCTGAGACACAGCTGGGCACTGGGCCTCCTCTGCTTCCTCGTGGTCCGGGAGTGAGCGGCCCCTGGGATCCCACGGTCATCCTGTCGAGGGCCAAGGCTCTCCCCGTCCACTGGCCACACTGCCGTCACCCCACCCCAAGGTCTTCAGCCCTCCCTGCGGGGTCCAGGAGGGGCCCCCTTGCATGTGGAGTGGAGGCCGAGGCCGAGACCAAGACCACCTGGGGCTGGGTGGCCCTGGGTGGGGTGGGCGCCAGCCCTGCTGCCCGGAGGGTGGAGAGGCACAAAGTCCAGCACACCGTCTGCGGAAACAGGTCGTTTTTATTGAGAACATCTCAGACCCTCTGTCTGTGGGACAGCGTCTCATGCTCAGCTCGGCCGGCCTCAGAGGGAGGAAGCTCATGCAGGGGACGTGTGGCATACACAGGACACACACAGAGGACACGAGGGCCACACCCTGGCAACAGCTCCTGCTGGAGCACACTCCCATGGCGTCTGAGCCTCAGCCACCGGCTTGTGGGGACCACGCCCGCGGCGCCCCTCCTCCAACAGCAAGCAGCGGAGCAGGTGCCTGCGGGGCCAGGGGCCAGGGGCCACCTCACCACCACACCTCACGTCCAGCAGGCTGGGCCCACGCCACCGAGACCCGCCCGCCTGGCAGGCCAGAGGCCACCGCCTCACTTCCTGGCATCACAGGAACCCCAGAGCGCCAGCGTGGACCGGCCAAGCAGCCCGCCAGCCTCGAGCAGAGCCTCCACCTCCACGGGCCTGGGCACCAGGGGAGATGCAGGTGCACCCCAAACCCAGGTCCTTTGCCCTGGCCACGCGGACTCTGGGGCTGATACAGAGGGATTGGACCTGGGGACAAGAAAGTGACCTCACTTTGCTTCTCCTGCTGGCGTTTCTGGTGCGTGCCTCAGGAGTGGAGACCACTGCCCACACCCGTGCACAGCCCACCGGCAGCCGCTCTCCAGCACCCGCACCCGGAGCTGCTCCCGCGGGGCTGCAGGGGACGGCCTCACGGCCGCAGCGACCTCTGACAGGTGTGACGCCCCAGGCTGGGGCCGCCACTCACACACTGAGATGAAGCCACTGTGTGGTCACAAGACAGGAAAGGGTGATGGACGATCAAGACCTGAATCAGAGCTGCGATTCTTTGGCATCCCTGGCTGGAGACTGTACTGCCTGGGGCCACGGCACGGGTGCCAACGGCCAGCCCTGCCCCACCACTGCGGCCATCCACACAGAACATGTGGCCCACCTGAGACTCCCACACGCCCTCCCACTGCTGAGCCAGCTGCCCTGGCAAAGCCGTCCCTGAGCATCCCGGGGGGACAGTGTGGCACAGCACTTCAGGGGTCCCTCACAAGCAGAAGAGACCCCGCCCCCCACTGTCAAAATGTCAGAACTCAAAGATTTTTTTCTCAAAAAATCAAGTCCCTGATTGTGTCAGATCCTGTGAGCCTGCAGGTCCAGATCAAGGGCTGGACGGCCAGGGCCAACATGGCAGGAGTGCCCCCGGAGGGCAGCGTGAAGCCAGCCCCACGGTGTGTGACTGCGTGTGGGACGTGTTCCTGCTGGACTCCAAGGCCAGAAGGCCACCGCAAAAGACTGAGTTCACCTCCAGTCCCCCCGAGGACGATGCCTCTGGCAGACGAGGGGACGGCCGTGCTCCCTGGAGTGCACAGGAGCCTGCCCCAGGACACAGCCCCCAGACCCCGGCTCCTGCGGGGGCAAGGGGGACCCAGCACTGCCTAGCAGGGCAGCGGGTCTGAGACCAGCAGCGGGAGCTGGGGTGGGCCTGTCCGTGCCCACTGCACCTGGCTGTGTCCCTCCCGCCATGCGGAACGAGCCCAGGGGACGGGAGCCGTGGGCAGTGAGCCCTGCAGACAGGCCCGTGTCCCCAGGCAGCGCACTCAGCTCTCAGCCTGGTCACCGCAGCCACGCCCTGCTCCCTGGCTCCCTACTCACAGGGCACCAACAGCAAGGTGGACAGCCCGGTGCCACTCAGGCCTCATGCCTGGGCGTGGCATTGCGGGTCTGGGCCTGCCACTGCCGTGGCCCCAAGGCCCCTTGGTGCCCCTCTGGAGCAGACAGGCCCCTGCCCTCTAGTCCTGGAGCTCCAAGGCACCTGTGCAGCCTCCGAGTGCAGGTCCAGGTGGGCCCTGGCTGCTCCTGCCCAGAGGCTCCCGGCGCAGCACCCGGGGACCGGCAGCGCTCGCCCCTGCGCTGCCCGACCTCAGCCTCTGGTGCCCACCAGCCCCAGGGCTGCCAGCTCAGCTGCAGGAGTGTCTCTGATGAGGCCGGAGGGGGGACTGAAGTGCCGAGGGCCAAGTCCACCTGGGCACGCGGCTCCCTCCCTGCGAGGGCCTGGCCGGGAGCATGGGGCCCAGGCTCCTCTCGCACAGCCGCCCAAGGTCCCCTCCGTCCACAAAGGCTCCAAGACCCACATGATCAGCCAGCAAAGGACGCTGGACATGCTTCATCTTGATGATCCAGAGTGAACTGAGGAAGGCTCCCATGATCCCACCCAGGAGTACGGAAGCTTCCAGAGGCAGCGGAGGAGCCAGCCGGGGTCACATCCTGCAGGACTGGGCACTGAGGCCCCACCAGGGAGGCCTGCGTGCCCCTCGGGGATCCACTCCAGGCCCCACCCTCCCCCTCCACCCCCACGTTTTACAATTAAAATAATGTGGCATCAAAGTGACCTGACATATTTACTTCTTGTTTTATAAACCACATTCCTAGCTCTGAATAAATTATTTATTCAAGGATCTCACACGCAGCCGTGTCTACGTTCCTACACTCAGGAAGCCCTACTCAGTAGAACTCGATCTCTAACGTAAACTGGAATTGGAAGCAGTCACTGGATGACTCAGGAGGGGACATGAGTGGCACCTGTCCCAGTGCAGATGTGAGATGCCCGGCACCCCACAGCCCCACACCTGCCCTGGTCGGGTGCGTGACGCCAGTGGTCCCTGGCCCATGCCTCACCAGGCTGTGTGCCTGCCCGAGTCCAGACGGGAGGTTCGGGGATGGTGCAGGACACAGTGTCCCTGGGCCCTACCGGGCTGTGAGCCTGCCCCAGTCCAGACGGGAGGTTCGGGATAGTGTGGGGCCGACAGCCCTGCACCCTGAGCTGGGCCCACGGGTCAGGGCGTGAGGGAGAACTGGTCCTGCTCCGTGGGCTTCTCCACCCAGGCGCCCAGCCCAGCCTTGATGAAGGCGGTGAAGAGACGGGCCTTGGCGGCCTGGTACTCCTTAGCCGCCAGCTTGGACTCGTGGTAGGTGGTGGGCTTGATGATCTTGGTCCGCAGCAAGTGGGGGGGCACCTGCGGAGGAGAAGGGAGCGTGAGAGGCGCCCTGCGGGACCGACACGCCACCCCGCGCAGAGCTCTGACCACCAGGCACCAGGACCACCCTGGCCGGGGGGACAGCCCTGGAGCCAGGGGGACAGCTCCTACAGCAAACAGGCCAGGGCTCCGCAGCGTCCCCACCAAGGAGCCCACTACAAACCCCGGGTTCTGGGGCCAGGCTTCTGGCAGACCAGCTGTTTCCTGTGCTGGGTGTCGGTGACCACAGGGACACCTCACTGCCCTGCAGGGCCAGGGGTCCCTGGTGGCTGAGCTGCAGCGCACAGGCCCGTCCTGGGTGCCAAGGGGCAATTTCTATCTGAGCCCCTGTCTCAGTGTTCCGTGCTTGACGGAAACGAAATCTCAGGGTCACTGGCCACACATCAGGGCGGATCCTGGGAACAGGGCCCTGTGGCCCAGAGGAGAGCTGTGGGGCTCTGGGCGGAGGGCTCAGCAGAGTCCAGGCAGCGCAGCCGAGAGGACAGGGGGCGGAGGCTGGCCCTCCATCCCTGTCGTCAGCACTGAGCACCAACATGAGTTCCTCGCGGGACGGCTTGGATCTGAGATGGCCCCAAAGGCCACATGGTGAGGCCTGGGTCCCCAGCCTCTGGTGCTGTGGGAGGAAGCTGGGTCCCGGGGCTGCCTAGAGGGGGTGGCGAGACCTGCTCCTCGCTGCCCTCCCTGCGGCCCCTCCCGCCATGGTCACCATGAGGTGAACAGGCTCCTTGCCACGCTCTGCCCTAGGTGTGCTGCCTTGGGACGGCCAGCGGGAGGGACCTAGGAGAGCTGCGAGACGGGGCTGAGGTGCCCCAACATCGTGGGCAGAGCCTGACGGCAGCTGGGGGCCGGAGGCAGCGCACCGGGGGACCTGGAGAGCCAGGCTGTGCTGCTGGAGAGGACCCTGCGGGCCTGGACCCAGGGCCACCGTGCTAGAGTCATGCCCTGAGGCTCCGAGTGGGGACCCAGTGTATGTGGCGGAGGGATCCGAGGCAGCACAGCCGTCAGGCGGTGGGATGGGGCTGCTGGACACTTGTGGTCAGATTCACAGTAGGAACTGGGAGCGAAAGCAGAGCAGAGAGTCTTAAAACTTGCAGCTTTGCCACAAAAGGAGCAGGTCTCAAGGTGGCAGGGACGGTACCTTGGCTAGAGAGACTACAGCCATTAAAAAGAAGCCAAGTACCTCACCAGTGCCAGGGACCCCAGGGACCCCAGGACCGGGGGACAGCCCCGGGTGCCCGCTCACACAAGGCCACTCAGCCGTTTTTCTGTGATTAATGCCCCTGAGTTCAGGGACACTGCCTCGGGTCACTGCAGCCAGAGTCCAAGAAGGCCCAGTGAAGGCTCTCGCCTGCCAGACCCTGGGGCCCCCTGGTGACGCTGGTTCTGTGGGCACGGAGGGGCCGCATGAGAGGTGGGAGGCCAGCCGGGCGGCCAGGCGGCGTGTGGCGGAGGTCTGCGCAGCAGGCCCCGAGGGCGTGTCAGGCTGAGCTGAGGCTGCGGGGGGGCCTGGACGTCAGAGAGGCCAGGGGTGGGCAGCGTCTGCCAAGCACAGCTGCAGGCAGAGAGCAGAGCTGCCCGAGGCTGGGGCAGGCCTCCCGTGCCCCGGGAGCTCGCCTGTCACCACAGGCCCGTCTACAGGACGCGGGGTGGGCCTGCCAGGGTCGGTCCTGCCTGGCCTGATGCCTCCCTGTGCCGCCCGCCCTCCTCCCCCTGGACAGGCATGTCTGCCGGCGCCTGGCCCACCTCTGCACGAGGACAGGTGGCTTTCTGCTCGACGCCGCAGGCTCACCACTAAGAAGCTTCAGTCCTGGGCTCTGTGGCAAAGCTGGGACAGTCAAGACCTGGGGACCCTGGGGGTGGAGCCTGAGGCAGGACAGGACGGTTTGGGTCTGGGATGTCTCCCAAAGCCCAGCCGCAGGGGGAGGTGGAGCGGCCTGGACAGGCGGGGACTACGGGAGGGGTGAGGTCACTGGGTGTGCACTCGGTGTGTGAGGGGACGGTGGCACCTGGCACTTCTGCTCTGTCCCTGCTCCCAGCTGCCCTGAGGCGAGCACCTCGGTTCCGCCCTGTGCTCCCCTCCATGATGTGCCTTGTCACGGGCCGAAGCAGACCCTGAGACCTTGGGGTGAAATGAGCTTTTTCTTCAAGCTGACTTGTCTCAGGTGTTTTGTCACAGTGGTGACGAGCCAGCGACGCCCTCCCTCGGCAGCCCAGGGGCAAGGCCTGGGTTTGGTGGCAGTGAAGGAGGGGTCTGCCTCTGAAGCAGCTTTGAGCTCTGGGAGCTGAGGACCCTCTTCCAGGCTAAACATGACGGGAAGGAACAGAGAGGGTTCCAGACGGTCCTCCCGGGAAGCGCGTGGGGTGAGCACGAGGACGGGGGACCCAGACAGGCCGGGGCGAGCGCGCAGTGCGGGGAGGGCACCTCAGTACCTTGCCGTGCACACGCATCCAGCGAGAGTACAACGCGTGCTTACACAGGCGCGAGGGGCGGCCCAGCTCGTCCTTCCCCGTGGTGGCGTTGATGACCTCCAGGGCGCCGTCACCGACCGTCCAGTTGACGCTGAAGTTGGGCGCCTTGCCCGGCTGCCGCGCCTCTGCGTTGCTAATGCCTGGAACGAAGCAGTCACAGAGGGCGACGTGAGCCTGTGAGCACGTCCGGGGACAGGAGGGGACGTCCGGAGCAGCTGGCTGCTCACACACAGTCATAGGGCAGCGCCGGCAGAGTGCCATCTGCAGAGGGACGTGTGTGGACCAGGCATTGGTCACAGGGGCACACCACACCTCCGCTGCCACCGCGCTCTGGGCCCAGGCAAGCAGCGAGCCAAGAACCTGCAGCAGACCCTGGGGGCACACTGGTCGGTGACAGGGCACGGGCCACCAGTCGCCTGAGCCACAGCTGCCTGCCACGGAGCCTCAGCCCACGTGGGCCAACAGGGCTGGAAACCTTGCAGCCTGCGGGCAGGGGTAGGAGCCACTCGTGGTTAACTCAGGTGCTGCCAAGAGAGCTGGCTGAGTACTCCTCGGGGAGCCCGCCCCGTGTGCCCCTGCTGCCCAGAGGCCAGGCGCCAGGCCACACCGGTCCCCAGGCACGACACCCAGTGGAAGAGGAGCCACGGCTCTCAGCGAGTGGCTTCCCACTTGCAAGCCCTGCCTCAAAATAAGAAAACAGGGCTGGGGACGTGGCTCGGTGGCAGGACAGCCCTGGGCTCTATCCCCAGCAGCACAAGGTAGAACAGATGAGAAAGAGCATCGCAGAAAAGCACTCCGCACAGCACAGGTGGACACGGCCGGGAGACCGCCGGCTCCTCCCCTCCGGCCTCTCTCTGCAGTAGCGGGCACTGAACCCAGGTGCTCGCCGTGAGCTGCCTCCCCGGCCCTGCAGTCTGTATTCTGAGACGGCGTCCTGCTGAGGTGCCCAGGCTGGACCTGCCACCCTCCTGCCTCAGCCCCCCGCGGAGCTGCGTCACGGTGTGCCGGCAGCAGGTGAGCGCAGACTCCTGACAGGAAACAACATCTCCCCAGGGCCAGGAAGAAGATTAAAAGGCGGCCTCCAAAGTCGCAGCCAAGCACATGTCGGAAGTGAGACCCTCCAGACACAGCGGGGCCACCCACCCTCAGAAGGACCCGCCACAGGAAGGCCGGAGAGTGTGTGTCCGGCCAGAGGAAAGGGCAGCTACAGGACAGGCCTAGGAGAGCGTCCCCAGGTCACTGAATGCCCTTAAAAACTGACCGCCCAAACAAAAACGGCACGTGGGGTTTCAAACCGATACCCACTTCTCAGGGGTAGCTGGACACGTGCCTTTACTTATGTATCTCTAAGTGGGGCTGAGGAGGGGCCCCTGGCCCCATGGTGCTGCACAGTGCTGGACCCCGGAGCCTCGGCCCAGCCCTGGAGTGGGATCTTAACACAAGAAGACGGTGCAGGACCACACAGCAGGCCGGAGAAGGAGCCTGTGTGGGTCACCGTGCAGGAGGCCGTGCGGCGTCAGGTGGAGCGCGGTGAGCGAGGCACCCCACAGACCTGCAAACCCACAGAACAAAGAGCTGAGCGTCAGAGGGAACCAAATGGAGCGCACGCATCAGTCTCCTCAGAGACGGGGAGAGACAGCTGAGAGCAGGTGAGGGGCAGGAGAGAGCCAAACGGCGGAACTCGGAACTCGGGGGACTCCGTTTTGAAAACCAGCCTGTACCTCAGAGCAGGGCCTGTCCCAGGAGGGGGGTGGCCCTGTCCTTGGAAAACCCGTTCCTAGGCACACAGCTACCTGCCGAGTCATTTGTCCACACCAGAGGTCCTTGACTCAGCAAAGGCAAGTTCCTGGAAAGACCAAAAGAATGCCCCAGGCCACCGCAACCACCCACCAGGTGACATGGGAGACACCTGAAATGCCAGGGCCCCCAGGGGTTTGAGACTGGTAACGTGATCAGGCCACCCTGCAGTTTAGCACACACTCTTGCAACCTCTCCGGCCTAGACCAATCAGTTCAAAGGTATCCACCATGTGAACTAACCAATCACCACCCAACTTGTTCCCGCCACTGATCCATGTTAAGAGTTGTGTTTGACTTTCCCGCAGTGTGCAATGATTTGCTGTGTGATGTGGTGACACGTAGAGTATCCCCCCAAAACCTATAAATCCTCACTGACTAAGGGCCGGCACTCACTCCCTGGGACCGCTGCGTCGGGAACGGTTGTGACTCCAGGCTCGAGCTTGCAATAAAGACTCTGGTGTGCTTCATCGGACTCGGCTCCTGGAGGTCTCTGGGGTCCCAGAATCTGGCCTGACGAAACCCAGCAACCTCAGTGACCACAACAGGGCCTACGGTCCACGGACCTCAGAGAGGAGGCAGGATGGCCACTGGTGGCATGGGGCAAGGTCCTAACCCACATGCCGACAGGACTTGCTTTTAGTAGGAAACAGCTTAAAATAAAGGGACATCACAAAGAGACCAGGTGCTTCAGCAATTAAGAGAGAGTTCAGGAGGCCAGGACACAGACACAGCCGTCTCAGAACACAGGCTCCTGCAGGGAGAAAGGAGACGGCCTCGGGGGAACGGGATCCTAACTGCAGAGCTGCGGAACCCCAGTCCTGGACAGAGGAGAGGTGAGGACGGGTAGTTAGAGCCAAGAGAGCTCTGGGAGCCGCCCAGCACTCAGAGCCCAGGAGAGGCTGCGCAAGGGCAGAGTAGGTCAATCTGAACGGTCAACCTGATTGGATTGAGAGAGGAGGATCCAGAGGTTCTGGGTGTGCCAGTGAGGGCGTGTCCAGGAGTGACTGGCACGTGGGACAGCCAACTGAAGTGGAGGCCCTCCTAGTGTGGGCAGCACCGCCCAATAGGAGGGTGGCCTGGATGGGGTGGAACGTGGAAGACCAGGCAGCCCAGCAGACGCAGCCCATTCTTCTTGAGGGGTCCTCGATTCCTGCTGTGCTGCTGCGGTCCCTCTAGGAACCGGACTCTCCCTTCTTCACTCTTCCAAAGGGGCCTCTGCCGAGATTCTCCAGGAGGCTTGGGTCTCAGACAGCAGCACCGGTGGCCCCTGTTCTGGGGCTTCAGCCTCTCGGACTGCGCAGCTACGGGTTCTCCCCGCTCTCCAGCCTGCAGATGGCCACGCTGGACTGTCCAGCTTCTGGTCACGTGAGCCAGCCTGATAAGTCCCCCTCTGTAGTCATCCTTCCTGTTGATTCTGTCCCTCTAGAGAGCCCTGACCAGTACCACCCCCAGGCGTCCTGGACAGCCAGCAGGAGCCGTCGCCCGAGGGCCGGCGGAAGGCAGCAGCGAACCAGCAAAACCAGGGCTGGTTCTTCAGGTGACAGAGGACTTGGTGACCCTTCAGCCAGACAGGCAGGGAGAGGGGTCACAACAGTGACCTGGGAACAGGAGACACTGACCACACTGAGGGCCACACACATCTTCCAAGCAACAGCAAGGCACTGCCCTCCAAGAAGGTGCCAGTCAGATGGAATGGCCACTTTCAGGAAGTTGTGGGTCACCAAACTGAAGAAAAAGGTGAGCAAAAAACAGTCCTGTATTTTAGAAACTGAATCTACAGCTAAATTTCCTCACAAGCAAACCCCAGGCCCAATGGCTTCACTGGAGAATTCTACCATCACTCAGGGAAGTGCTCACATCAGCTACCCAACACTTCCAGAAAACCTGGGGGGACGTGTGTCTCACCCACTTCGCCCACAGTCCAGCGTCCCCAGGGACAGAGCACCTCGGGGCAGAGACACCCGAGAGGCCAGCAGGTAGGATCCAGCGAGCACAGAGCAGGGTGCTGCTGCCAGCTGCCAGGAGCTTGGGTAAAAAAAACTGAGAAGTGAGCACACGACAGCCTCAGAGCTGGGAAGCGCACACAGCTCCCGTTCACGGCTTCTCACCCTGGCAAACCAGGAACAGAAGAAGATCCCCAAGCCTGAGCAGGACCCCTGCAGGAGGCCAAGCTGACACAGCACGCAGCGGTCCAGGCTGGCTCCTCCCTAGGCCACTCGCGAGACCAGGCTGTCCAAGTGCATGTCCCCACGCAGGCTTTGGGTCTATCCAGGACAGCAGGACAGCAGGAAAGGAGGAGGGCAGGGCCCCAGGGCCACCTGTGCACACCAGTTCATGGCAGCTGGTCAGCGGTGGATGGGCGGCTGTGTGGCCCTCAGCACAGCCCAGGAAGTGAGCCACCTGGACTCAAATCTGACCGAGGGTGTGCAGCATCCCCTGCAAGCCAGGTGCGTGACGGTGGCCTGGATCAACTGGGAGACTCCGGGTCACCACGCAGTCCTCGTCAGAGACCCACAGAGTCGGCAATCCCACCAAGATCAGCCGCCTCGTGCCGATCCTGGGAGCGGAAGGCAAAGGATCTGGGGAGCCCAGACAAGCTGGACTCACAGGGTGGACACACTGCCATCCAGAGCGGGCTGCACACCTCAGCTGAGGGTCCAAGGAGACAGACAAGCCCGGTGGGGAGGAGCCTGAGACCAGGTGTCCACCTGGGGCCACAGGCACAGAGACCTCTGGACTGCAGGGCAAGAGAGAGGGGACTTTCACCCACCCGCTCTGCTGGAATACAGTCCTGTTAGAAACGGCAACTCGGAGCCCCTCAGCCTACGGCACCCGCGGCGCAGACGGACGTGACCCTCAGGGAGAACTCTGGCGACTCTGGACGTGACTGGAGTCACACCCCGGGCCTGGGTGAGCACTGTCAAGAGGGCTGGAGACACATCTGGCTGGAAAGCCGTTTTGCAGCCGTTTATGTGATCAAGGACTTGTATCCAGAAAATGGGCAAGTGGTCTCGGACGGGTGGTGAGGTCAAGGAGCCCGATGACAGCGCGGGAGGTCCAAACCGTCACCGAGGAGGCCGCCGAAGAGCAGTCAGCAGGTGAAAAGGTGCTCGGCTGCCCAGGCCCCTGAGGGTTTGGTCTGCAGTGTCCACCAGAGTCGAGCCTTGACCTCGACGTGCGGGGAAGCCGTCCCCTGGCTGGCTTTCAGCTCGTGCTTTGTCCAGCTTTGGGATCACGGTCAGGCCAGCCGCCTTCCTACAGCTTGCGGAGTCCCTGGAGGGGCTGGCGTGTCCCTAGACAGCTGGCGGGACCGCCTGCGTGTGCTGGGGACAGTCCACCTGCCGACACCTGCCCAAGGTCTGCCCTGAAACCCGCTCGGCCACTGACTGTCCTCAGAGTCTGAAGTCTGTGAGGCCCAGGGCCGGACACACAGTGCTGCTGCACCCTGCTCCCCCGGGGCCGGGCCGGGGCTCAGGGCAGAGCACTTGCTGCCGCGTGTGGGGCCCTGGGCTCCATCCTCAGCACCACATAGAAATAAACAAAATAAAGGCAGGTGTCGCTACAAATGAAAAAATCAGAAAGAAAGAAAGAGAAACCCTGCTCCCCGACCCGGAGGCGAGCCGCCATTCCCTCTGCTCTCGCCGTGAGTCACGCCGACCGCCCGGCGGCCGGAGCCTCTTTGGCCCTTTCCCGTCAGTGCCTCTGGTGTGACTGGTGGATCTGGATCCTTCTCCCTGTTTCCTGTACATCCACCCTGCCCTCCTGCTTTCCCATTCCTGTTTTTTTCCCGTATCTTCTGTCAACTTGTTCACTCTTTTCCCGATTTCTGGGACCGAGAGCTTGGTGGGGTGACCTCCTCGCAGTGGCTGGGCCCTGCCACCATTTCCTGTGTGTGTTCTAAGTAAACCGAGGGACGTGCTGCTTCCTCTCCTTTCCAGGGGCAAAGCTTCGGCCTTTGCATCTTAAGGACGCAGAGCCAACTCTGAGTTTCCATCTGTTGTCGAGGAAGGGACTGGGACCCTGGGGGAGTCTGGGTGACAGCTCTCGACAGCTCCTGAGGAGCCTGGGATGCGGTCTCCGAGCGCTGTCGCCAGCTGCTGGGCCACACCTTGGTTCTGCTGGTTCTGGACCGCTCCTTCCTGAACAGCTTTGAGGGCTTCCTGGAGAGGCACTCTCCTGGGTTTTCTTTGGCTGTTCGCCTGCACTATCGTCCCACCAGCTTCCCGGGCTGTTTGCTGGATGGAGACGTTTCACTCTGCGAGCACCCTTTAGAGCTCCTCCAGGACTGCTCCTTTTGGGTGTGGCCGGCCGTGCTCTCCACCCCGGGATCTGCGTCCCGCCTCCTCCTGTGGAAGTCTCTCCGTACTGCCAGAGCGTCTGCACGAATGCTGGGTGAGTCTTCTGAGTCCTTGAGCATCTCAGACTCACCCTTTGCCCCACGCTAGACACCACCTGGCCCGCAAGAAAGCCGCAGGGCACTCCTCGGATCCCGTCCCGCTCACCATATCCCGACACGGCTCACGAAGTCGGACGCGCACGTCGTTGATGTACACGTCGGGCCACTTCCTCTGGTTTTGGCCTTCTGATGGGGTGCGAGGACTGCTGGGCATGGACCTCCCCCAGAACCTCGGGTTTGTGTCTGGCCTGCACTTACAGACGTGGCACTGGCCGGGGCGCCCGGCGCGGTCTCTGCTCTGGGTCTGTTCCTCACAGGTTGTCCCCTGCGGTGTTCCTCAGAGGTCTGCTGAGGGCTGCTGTCCACTCACGGTGCTGAGAGCATGCAGCTGGCGGCCTGGTTCCTCCCCGTGTCTTTGCCGAGTGCTCGACTGTGGGCAAGGCCGAGAATAGAGGCCTGGGCCCGACCTCTGCCAGTGCTGCAGCCCAGCTCAGCCCCCCCGTGGGTGGCCAGGCGGCCTTGGCCCTGGCTGGCCCTGGGCCCCAAGGCACTGAGGCTGCGGGACCCTCAGCATGGCCACTCCCTCTTCAGATGTGGGGGCCAGGCGGGAAGGCCTGTGCCAGTGGACCCCACAGGAGGTGGCTGGGTCACAGGGGTGTGCCTTTAAGGGGGACCCAGGGGTGGTGCTGTGGGGGGTGGCTGGGTCACAGGGGTGTGCCTTTAAGGGGGACCCAGTGGTGGTGGCTGTGGGGGGTGGCTGGGTCACAGGGGTGTGCCTTTAAGGGGAACCCAGGGGTGGTGGCTGGGTCACAGGGGTGTGCCTTTAAGGGGGACCCAGGGGTGGTGGCTGTGGGGGGTGGCTGGGTCACAGGGGTGTGCCTTTAAGGGGGACCCAGGGGTGGTGGCTGTGGGGGGTGGCTGGGTCATAGGGGTGTGCCTTTAAGGGGGACCCAGGGGTGGTGGCTGTGGGGGGTGGCTGGGTCACAGGGGTGTGCCTTTAAGGGGAACCCAGGGGTGGTGGCTGTGGGGGGTGGCTGGGTCACAGGGTGTGCCTTTAAGGGGGACCCAGAGGTGGTGCTGTGGGGGGTGGCTGGGTCACAGGGCTGTGCCTTCACGAGGGACCCAGAGGTGGTGGCTGTGGGGGGGGTGGCTGGATCACAGGGGTGTGCCTTTAAGGGGAACCCAGGGGTGGTGGCTGGGTCACAGGGGTGTGCCTTTAAGGGGGACCCAGTGGTGGTGGCTGTGGGGGGTGGCTGGGTCACAGGGGTGTGCCTTTCAGGGGGACCCAGAGGTGGTGCTGTGGGGTGGTGGCTGAGTCATGGGGGTGTGCCTTTAAGGGGGACCCAGGGGTGGTGGCTGTGGGGGGTGGCTGGGTCACAGGGGTGTGCCTTCATGGGCGACCCAGGGGTGGTGGCTGTGGGGAGTGGCTGGGTCATGGGGGTGTGCCTTTAAGGGGGACCCAGGGGTGGTGGCTGTGGGGGGTGGCTGGGTCACAGGGGTGTGCCTTTAAGGGGGACCCAGGGGTGGTGGCTGTGGGGGGGTGGCTGAGTCATAGGGGTGTGCCTTTAAGGGGGACCCAGGGGTGGTGGCTGTGGGGGGTGGCTGGGTCACAGGGGTGTGCCTTCATGGGCGACCCAGGGGTGGTGGCTGTGGGGAGTGGCTGGGTCATGGGGGTGTGCCTTTAAGGGGGACCCAGGGGTGGTGGCTGTGGGGGGTGGCTGGGTCACAGGGGTGTGCCTTTAAGGGGGACCCAGGGGTGGTGGCTGTGGGGGGGTGGCTGAGTCATAGGGGTGTGCCTTTAAGGGGGACCCAGGGGTGGTGGCTGTGGGGGGTGGCTGGGTCACAGGGGTGTGCCTTCATGGGCGACCCAGGGGTGGTGGCTGTGGGGAGTGGCTGGGTCATGGGGGTACTGCCCTCAGAAGGGGTTGATGTAGTTCTTGCTGTACCCTGGTCAGTTCCTCAAGAGCCAGTTGTTAGTAGAGGGACCCCAAGTTCTGCTTCCTCCCTCACAACGAGATCTCTTCTGCACAGACTTGGCTCCTGCACTTTGGTTCCTTCTTGTCTTGTAAGATTCCCTTGCCTCAGGCTGAACATGGGGCTGTCCAGTCTTACATTGTAGCCTCCAAACTGTGAGCTATCGACCTCTTTTGTTTATAAAGTCTGAGGCTCCAGTATTTTGTTATAGCAACATCACATTGAGGGCAAAGAGTGGAAACCATCTTTAGCATCGTGAGGAATTCACACACCAACACACAGCACGACACTCCAAGCTGCAGGGGCGCTCCTGGCTCAAGGTGCCATAGCCAGTCCCAGCACTCAGTTCTGTTTTCTTGAAGAAGAAGGTTATGGTTAGGGAGCTCTCAACTCTGAGCCCAGACAAGCTTCGTACTCCCGTATCCGGCACCCTGAAAGAGCCGCACCTGCTCTCTCCACGGAGGCGTGCTAGCGGCCAAGCTCTCAAACAAGGCAGAGACACGCACACCACAGAAGGCTGTTTTAGTTTAGGGTTATGGTTTTAGTTCTGAGCATCAAAAAGTAAGTAAGGTGTTACTTTTAAAAGGGTAAAAATACCTTAATTGTGTCCTTTTAAATAAGGGTGGGCTTAGAAGTTAAGACCCTTGAATTCAAAAGCTCCTGTTCTCTTTACTGTCAGCCACTGACATTCTAAAAAAAGAGAAGAAACCAGCAAAAAGGGCGTGAGAACAGGAGAAGCCGCTGTGGAGAAGGCCTGCCAGTCATGCCCGCCTGCCAGGCTCGCCACGTGGCAGGGGCCTGGCACCCGAGGGTGGACACCCATGGCTGCCCCAGCTGGTCAGTCTGGGGAAGCCGACACTGACCCAGCGGCCACAGGGGCAGAACAGGCCTGTGGTGGGAGAGCACGAGGCCCCTGCTGGCTCCTCTGGGAACGCAGGGTCTGCGGCTAGTCAGAGCCCGCGCCCTGCAGAGGGACAGGGTGAGCAGAGGCCCGGCACCTCTCCTGCCAGGCTGGGCAGCCGAGGCCTGAGGACCCGAGGCCTCGGGGGCAGTGAGCGCGGGGTACTTGCCGCTGAGCAGGGGCTTGTTGAGGGTGTAGAGGGGCGGCAGGTCCTCGATGTTGGAGATGCGCTGGTACATGGCCCTGGAGAGGTGGTCGCCGTGGTACAGGCTGCCCAGGATGATGCTGGAGAAGTAGACGGGCTCCACGAAGATGCTGAGCAGGGAGCCCTGGGTGCCCACCACGTTCCAGCTGCAGGGAGAAGGACAGCGCTCAGTGGCACCCGCCGTGACCGCCCCGCAGGGCGAGGTCCAGCTGCCTGCGGGGAGCCGCACAGGCAGGGTCTGCTGGATAGCCACGCAGAACGGAGCGTCCTGCCGCCCCAGCCAGGACGGCGTGGGGTGCTCCAAAGCCCTGGCGCAAGGTGCCCCAGGAACCTCAGGCCTGCGGGGGGGCAGCCCGCACTTCACCCCCCCAGAAAGGACAGCTCTGACCGTCACTGCAGAGCCAAGGCCCAGGAGCCACCCCCTCCTGCCCGCTGGGCGAGAACACAGCACTGCGCACAGCCAGGAGGTGGGTGGGGCACTGATCCTCCTGCCCACGGCTGTGGCAACCCAGAACCACCACACACCCCTCAGCCCCAGACTGCTCAGGCGCCAGTGGGCAGGCCACCTGAGGCCACAGAGGGACCTAAGTGGGCAGACGAGCCTGGGTACAAGACAAGCAACCAAAGGTAGAGGAGTGAAGAGCCGCGCCTGAGGGGGAGCTGGGCCAGGGGAGCCCTCTCTGTGGCAGAGGAGAGGGCTGGCCACGGAGGCTCCTTGGGGCACTCCCGGAGCTGAGCCCCAGGTGGGGGCTTCAGGACTGCGCACGGGCAGGTCCCGGGCTCCAGGATGGGTTGTAGGCAGGTGGGGGCAGGGGCAGTGGCAGGCAGTGGGCGAGGGCAGGGGCAGGTGGGGCAGGGGCAGGTGGGGGCTGGGGCAGGTGGGGGGAGGGGGAGGTGGGGGCAGGGGCAGGTGGGGGGAGGGGCAGGTGGGGGGAGGGGCAGGTGGGGCAGGGGCAGGTGGGGGGAGGGGGAGGTGGGGGCAGGTGGGGCAGGGGCAGGTGGAGCAGGGGCAGGTGGGGCAGGGGCAGGTGGGGGCAGGGGCAGGTGGGGGCAGGGGCAGGTGGGGGCGGGGGAAGGTGGGGGGAGGGGGAGGTGGGGGCAGGTGGGGCGGGGGCAGGTGGGGGCAGGTGGGGGCAGGGGCAGGTGGGGCAGGGGCAGGTGGGGCTGAGGGCAGGTGGGGGCGGGGGAAGGTGGGGGTCAGGGACAGGTGGGGGTAGGAACAGGGGGAGGTGGGGGCAGGGGCGGGGGCAGTTGGGGGGCTTGGGCAGGTGTGGGGCATAGGCAGGTGGGGGCGGGGACAGGTGGGGGGCAGGGGCAGGTGGGGGCGGGGACAGGCAGTGGCAGGGGAGGCGGGGGCGCGGGCAGGTGGGGGGCAGGGGCAGGTGGGGGTAGGAACAGGGGGAGGTGGGGGCAGGGGGAGGCGGCGGCGCGGGCAGGTGGGGGGCAGGGGCAGGTGGGGGCGGTGGCAGGGGAGGCGGGGGCGCGGGCAGGTGGGGGCAGGGGTGGTGGGGTAGGGGGAGGTGGGGTAAGGGCAGGTGGGGACGGGGCAGGTTGTGGTGGGGGCAGGTGTGGGCAGGGGCTGGTGGGGCAGGTGTGGGCAGGGGCAGGAGGGGCAGGGGCAGGGGTGCTCCTGAGGCAGCAGCTCCTGGACACAGGTGTCTCAGGAGAGGGCTGACCAGATGTGCCTTTCAGAGTCCCATGGGCAGTGCAGGACTCGGGACGCACCTGCACGGTCAGAGGGCCGGGGAAAACATCGAGGGATAGGGCAGTGCTGGTGCTAAGACACCTGGCCAGGTGTGGGACTGGAGGACCTGGATGGTGAGGTCCAGGCCCAAGCATGCTCCAGACCCACTCTCACGCACGGCCAACCTGCCCAGGTGATGTCCCCTGCTGGCCCATGGATGGAGTGAAAGGTGGGAGTCCAGAGGTCGGAGCAGTGACCCAGTGGGGTAGCCCAGGTTGAGCAACAGCTGGGCCTCAAACCCGATCTGCCCCAGCTCTGACCTCATCTGCTCGGGCCACCCCGGGTCACCCTTGGGTCACTCTTGCCTCCTCCCTGTCACAGCCATTGGCAGCAGGTCCATGGGATCTGCTTCAGAACAGGTTCAGGGTCCAGCTATGACTACCTCCACTACAGGGCCAGGCCAGCTCAGCCCCTGCCCTCGCCATCCCACGGGCTCTAGGAGGAACCCGGGGACCTGTCCTCAGCCTGCCCAGCCAGCACCTGCAGGGCCCTGTGCAGACCCCTGTGCAGACGCAGGCTGGCTCCCGAGGAAAGGCCACCTGTGCCACGGCCCACAGGCCTGCGTCCCCAGGCTCCAGGTCAGCCTCCCGCAGCTCCTCAGCCTGGAAGACGTCCCAGGCAGCGTGGCCACGGCTGCTCCCCTTGAGCCTCCTGCAAACATCCTCTCAGAGAGGCCCTGCCGTCTCTCGCTGCTCCTACCCTGTGTGAGCGGCCCTCCCCTGCCCCGCCAGAGCCTCTGGACACCATCAGGACGCCCGTCTCATTCACGGATCCCCCGTCCCTGCGCAGCAGTGCCAGCCCAGACGGCACACTTGAGGGTGGCCAGTCCTGTAGTTCCTGGGCTCCCTCCTGCCACCCCCAAAGGAGGTGGAAACAAGTTCCCTGTCCTAATGACTGGACACTTAAAGGCCCAGGGCAGACCAGGAGCCTCCTAGAATCCAGCCCCAGGCGCCTTCCAACTGCCCTTGCAGAAGCTGCCTGGGGGGAGCCGCTGACTCTGAATGCACTTCTGAGGGCCCAGGGTCTCCTGGAGCCAGCCGAGCCCTGTGTGGACCTGGAGGCACCACGGCCCACTCTGCCGGCAGCCCCCAGCCCCCAGAGCACAGCCCTGCGCCGCCTCCCGGAGCCCAGGCACCTGCCGTGGGGAAGGGCTCCTGGAAAGCTCTTCACCGACTGGAGCAGGTCCTCGGGGGCCCACCAAGCGTCCACACCCGTCCAGCCTGAGGATCAGGAGCCCCACACACTCTGCCCTGGGAAGGACCTGCCCACTACCCACACCCACCCATGCCCAGACCCAGGGTAACGAGGAGCCCTCCTGGTGCGCCCAGGAGGTGCCCCGTGCCACCGGGGGAAGGCAGGCGCGGGAGCCCCGTGCCGTCCTCTGCTGTGCTGGGCCAGGTCATCTGTGCTGGCCTTTTTGCTCACTCTCTTAGGGTGTTTCTGGGAGCACTGCCACCAATCTGTGCCCTGGACCCACACAGAGCCCCACCTGGCCCCAAGAGACGTAGCACACAGAGGACACTGCCACAGGGCCCAGCGGGCAGTCTGCCCAGCTGCAGCCCCTGCTGGGGCCCACCCTCTGTCCTCCCTGCGTGACTCTGCACTGCGTCAGCAAGCCATCTGTCCCCACCTGGGTGGTCCCTGTCTATCCCACAGCCCGACACTGAGCACACCGAACTGCGGCCACCAGAGTGGACTCCAGACCCACCCACATTGGGGCTCCAACCCACGTGCCTTCGGGCTGTCTTCCTGCCACTCTGCCTGCCCGCCGGCTGGACAGACAGACAGGCACCCTGGTGCCCTCCAGGGCAGTGCTGTGCCCCCTCCCCACACTGACCTGCCACATCCCTTGGTCAACAGGCAGTGGGACACAGCGGGGCCCTTGTGGGGGTAAACAAGCCGGCTGCCTGCTCCTGCTCCCCTGGTCCTCCACAGTACCTCAGGGGCCGTGAGCTCCAGGCAGACACCTGCCACTTCCTGGTCACCTGTGTCCCCTTTGGGGATGGGCTTCCCTCTTCTCTGGGCTTGCCTCGGCTCTTCCTCAGTCAGAGCATCAGACACACCACAAGAGCCTGCTGTGGGGCGGGTCCCTGGGTCCAGCACCATGTGCGCCTCCCTCTGTCAGAGGAGGACGTCCCCCCACCCAGCCAAGCCCTTGAGTCAGCGCTAGGCGGTGCAGGGGGCAGGGACGTGCCGGCCACCCAGTTCCAAGCTGTGGGCTCTGCCTGGTGTGTGGATTCTCTAAGGGCCTGGCGACTAAGGCGGCAGTTCCAGGTTAGCTACATTTGCTTATTTTCCTGCCCTACCCAAGAACCTGCCTTAGGGGCGACCAGAGGCCCCTGGCCACTCTTCATGGGCCTCTCACGGTCAGGAGAGGGCTCTGCGTGTCTGACAACAGGCCACTGTTTGCTGTCCATGAAGCGTCAGGCCTGTCTGCACGGCTCATGCTCCTCCACGAACACGGCGTCCAGGGAGACCGCTGGCCATGGCCAGCTCCGTGCTCCTTCACCACACAGCCCGATTCTGCCCCGGGCAACCCCCCGGGGGTCGGCCCTCGCCCTCCCTGTGCCTGGGAGTCAGACCAGATCTGGGCAGTTGGCATCTCCAGCTGTGCGCAGGCCCTAAGGAGAGAAGACGTGTCCCCCACGAGCACCTCCTGGCCACTGCCACCAGGAGACAGGAAACAAGGGTGACACGGGCCACCCCTCAGCCAGCACAGCTGCGCTCCGCCTTCCTCTCTTGGTGCAAGCAGCCACAGGGCGTGCTCGGATGCAGGGTGGGGCGGTCACACTGAGACCACGCAGCCCTCCCACAGCCCGCCTCTGAGCCCGCCAGCCTGCAGAGGTGCCACCTGCTGAGCCACCCCTGGGCTCGCGGCACCACGCTGTCTGCAGTGCAGAGGCAGCTTCTCCCCAGCAGCCTTGATCATGGCTCATTCCAAATCCTCAGATTCTAGATGAATCCCTTGAGTATTCGGAGGAGAAAGAACCAGGTTGTGAGAGCTGTCACCTAACCATTCATCCCCATCTGGTGGCAACTGGGGCCTGGAGGGGTGGCTCCCTGCACCCCTCCCCATCCCTGCTCCTGGCTGCCGTCTGGAGAGCGCTCCTCTGCCACGTCCCACCTCACCTGGGCCCAGAGCAGGAGCCGGCTGACCTCACACTGACCCTCCAAAACCAGAACCCAAATGAACTTTCCGTGCTTCAGTTGCTCTTGTGGGCTGTTTTGGTCACCATGAAATGCTGACGACTCAGTGTCCTTGCCAGAGCCTGTGCCATGACGTTTGGACATTCAGGTCCCAAACCTTTTCTTTCTGAAGTAGCCTCTCCCGGGCTTTTCACTGTCTTAATGAAAAAGAGACTCATCAACATCCAAGTCAAACAAGGTCGAGAAGACACTAGA